TATCTAATTCTGCGCAATGCATAATTTTATGAATTACGCTTTCCTTACTAGGCATCACCATAGCTTTCCAATTTTGAGCGAATATAATTCTTGCCGCTGTAACCACATGAGTAAATAAAAACATCCTCTTTGCTAACATTATTTTCAAGAATTCCTAATAACAGTGTCTCAGGTTTATATTGAATATTTTGTATACCCATTTCTGCTACCCACTCCCAAACCATACACCAAAAACTCTGTGCTTCCTTACATAACATGCCTCTTTCCTTTTTACTCTTGGAAAAAATAATAATCCACAGGTTTCTTGGGACTAGAAAGGGTGAACTCTTTTGTTTGACGTCCTGCTGAGTGGATGTTTCTCCTCTCTGGCAGGCTCAGTGCTGGAACTGAAACTTGCAAGTTCCTCGACCGACTTCCTCCCTGTTGCCAAAAGGGTAATAAAGCGGTGTGTGGTTAAGGAGGTGTGTTATTTGCGGGTTTTGCACAGCCAGTGAGAAAATTAAAAACAAAACAAAACATGGGAGGTTTGCTTCACCTTCAGGCAGATGAGAATGGGCTTCAGTTTTTAGGCAGCGGAACAAGATGTTTTTGTTTTTAAAACAAAACAAAACAAAAACAACAACTGGCAAATGTAGCCATTGTTCCGTTTTTCTTATCTCCTTCCAGGTAAGGTGCTTCTTGAGCAACATCTGAAACTTGCCCCCCAACCAGTGGTGGGATTCAGCCGNCTTCCTTCCTTCCTCCCTCCCTCCCTCCCTCCCTCCCTCCCTCCTTCCTTCCTGTGGTGGGATTCAACCACTTTGCACCAGTTCGGTAGAACTGGTAGCTAATTTTTTGTTGCCCAGGCCCAGAATGGACTTCCAGAAGCGGCATCCACACAGAGAACTGGTTGTTCCCATATCTGAATCCCACCACTCCTTCCTTCCTCCCTCCCTCCCTTCCTTCCTTCCTTCCTTCCTTCCTTCCTTCCTTCCTTCCTTCCTTCCTTCCTTCCTCCCTCCCTCCTTCCTTCCTTCCTGTGGTGGGATTCAGCCACTTCGCTTCCTTCCTGTGGTGGGATTCAGCCACTTTGCACCAGTTCGGCAGAACCGGTAGCTAATTTTTTCTGAATCCCACCACTGCCCCCAACACACACACACACACACACAGGAAGGAGGGAGGGAGGAAGAGAGAGAGAGAGAGAGTGTTGTCCTTCCAACCATCCCCAATAAATCCAAACCAGTTGTAACTAAATAACCCCATTTGAAGCAGCAGGGTTGCATAACAGGTTCACATTATTATGCCGACCTGCCAGCAAGCAACAAGCAGTACTAGAAAGGATGAACATCCTGCTGGTTTTATGTTTTCAGCTCTGAAATGCCCAGTGCTGGACTGAAACTTAACTCCAGTCATCAACCAGCTTGCTCTCTGTTGCCAAAAGGGTAATCACAACTTCTAAGCCCTGAACGTTATTGCCAGTCGCAAAAACCAAAGCCTAGCTAGGGAACTGGCTGGCTGTTGAGGAATGCCTGATCTGTCTGAGGTTTTCTGATGAAGCAGATCACTGGCCGGAGACCAGATCCTCTTGCGGATGGGTTTTGAAAGCAGGCTAAGCGCAGGAGAGCTGCAAGTTGTCCATGCCTGGTCAAACAGGTCTTAGAAAACTGCCACACGAATACCCTCTCCCTACAAATTCTCTTTGGCCCAATCCACTCACATTTCACACTTTCCCTGCCCAGATGTCCCCCCCCCCCCCGCCAAGTTGCAGACAGGGAAACTCAAATCCCCAACCAGCAGTTCTCAATCATCCAGCTCATGGTTGTCCCAAAGTTGCTTTTACAAAAGGCAATTGGACTCTCTTGGTTTTTTTTTTTTCCTTTGAAAAGGAAAAATTTCCATGGAGAAAACTGAAGAAGCTGCTTGGATGAGAAACGAAACGTATTCAAGGGAAAAAAAAATAATCCTAAGAAAATCCAGTTGCCTTTTGGAAAAAAGCACCTTTGGGTAAATCCTCATCCTGTTTTCGTTGGTTTATTCAGATCTAACCCGTGAATAGGCAACCATTTTAATAGCACTAATAGAACCTAGACCAGTAATGGTGAACCTTTTAGAGACCGAGTGACCAAACTGCAACCCAAAACCCACTTATTTATCGCTGGGTGCCAGGTGGGCGTGGCCCACTGGGTGGGCGTGGCTGTGGTGGTCATGGCAGGCTGGGTGGGCGTGGCCAAGGTGGGCGTGGTCACCTCGATGTTGCTCGTGGGGAGGGACGTCTGTAGGGGCCGGGCAGGGTTGGGGGAGATCCAGGGGGTCTCTGGCAGGTGGGGCGGTGGGCAGGAGGCTCGTCCTGCGGGGTGAGGCGAAGCAAGGTGTGGCAGGGCAGGGGTGCCATTGTCGCAGGGCAAGGCAAGGCAGGGGCCAGGACGGCTGTTGCCTGACACCATCGGCCCCCACACAGAGGCCAGAGAGTGCATGGGGGCCAACAGTGTCCGTCAGCAGCCACAGCCTGTTGGCCCCTCGACCGGTGCACTCTGGGGCTCCGCAGCCTGCTGCCAGCAGTTCAGAGAAGCTGCTTCTGAGCTGGACAGCCAGCCGACAGCTGAGGAGGTGATGCAGTGGGTTGTGCCCAGGAAAAGGAGAGCATGCAAAGCCAGGAGGGATGGAACGGGTGGAAGGAAACCAGCTGTGCTGAGATGCATCCAGCTATGTGGGACCTCAGCGAGTTAGCCGGCGGCTGATTGAAGAGGGACGGTTGCCATCTCCGGGGCATGGCGCGCGTGCCCACAGAGAAGGCTCTGAGTGCCGCCTCTGGCACGCGTGCCATAGGTTCGCCACCACTAACCTAGACTTATATACTATTTCACAGTGCTTTACAGCCCTCTCTAAGTGGTTTACAGAGTCAGCCTATTGCCCCCCCAACAATCTGGGGGTCCTCATTTTACCGACCTTGAAAGGATGGAAGGCTGAGTCCAACCTGGAGCCCGTCAGGATCAAACTCCTGGCTGTGGGCAGAGTCAGCCTGCACTACCGCATTCTAAGCACTGCGCCACCATCACCACCACCCCAAAATTTCTTTGGACTGCAAGGCTGCGTAACTCTGACTGCAATCCATTGGAAATCCCCCCCTCCTCGGTGTTGCAAAGAATGGCAGTCCATCGAAATATTGATGGTGTTCAGGATGACTATGTTTTGCTGGCTGGATCTGCCTATATTTCTTTCTGACGCTCTTTGGAACACACACACACACACATCTATTCAGCTTGCAGAGGTTACATCCTGAACCTGGTTGGTGGCTCAGCTTGTGGCACTTGGCAACTCTTTTCGTATCACTTGGCAACCGAGCCCCCCCATCCCCCACCCCGTACAACCCCATGGCAACTTTCTAGCTTTGAATAGAAGCTCATTCATGGATGTTATTGCCTCTCTCTGCAATATTTCTCACAATGTGAGAAAGTAATATTGTAACCAGAGCAACAGAGAACTGCCCTTGAAAAGTTCCAGTACGGAGATAGGAAGAGGGGAAAATACAGATGATGGGGACAATGGGTGTAGTACAGGAGTTGGGTTTCAGCTTAGCTAAGAGCACACTAGGGAGAGGAAAATTCAGGAACACAGACATTTTCCATTTCATCCAGTCTTCAGCCACAGGCTGAAGATGCTGACAGACGCCTGGTTTTCTATTCTAATATCTAACTTTCTCCCTCTTTCTCCCCTGCCCCTATATATCGAATTGATTGATGTTTGTATCTGTGGGGGAGGCCTTCTCCCTGCTTTGTCCTAACTCCTGGTTTGCTTAACCGTAGTTGGGGTAAAATTCGGCTGGGCTTGTCCAGCGCACCAGATGAAAACTGGGTTGCAAACCACTATGGGCTAATTGGTGGGTTTCACAAGTCGCACTCCGTGAAACCTCAATCCACCATGTGATGGCTTAGTGCAAGGGTAGGCAACCTTGGCTCTTTTATGACTCGTGGACTTCAACTCCCAGAATTCCTGAGCCAGCATGGCTCAGCTTGAAACCTCTCCCTTTCTCCTCAGCATGGCTGGCTCAGGAATTCTGGGAGTTGAAGTCCACGAGTCATAAAGTTGCTATAGTTCCCACCCTGTCCTGAGGGATGAGGTTAGGACGGGGTGGGCAACCTTGGGGTCTTTTATGACTCGTGGACTTCCATTCCCAGAATTCCTGAGCCAGCATGGCTCAGCTTGGAAACCTCTCCCTTTCTCCTCAGCATGGCTGGCTCAGGAATTGTGGGAGTTGAAGTCCACGAGTCATGAAGGGGCCATAGTTCCCCCATGCTGGCTCAGGAATTGTGGGAGTTGAAGTCCACGAGTCATAAAAGAGCCAAGGTTGCCTACCCCTGCACTAGACCAGAGGTAGGGAACCTTGGCTCTTTTATGACTGGTGGACTTCAACTCCCAGAATTCCTGAGCCAGCATGGCTCAGCATGGAAACCTCTCCCTTTCCCCTCAGCATGGCTGGCTCAGGAATTCTGGGAGTTGAAGTCCACGAGTCATAAAAGAGCCAAGGTGGCCTACCCCTGGCTTAGTGCAACCCATAAAACCTGCATAATCAGGAAAAATTACCACCAGGACAGCTAAGCTTCCTTGCGATTCTTTAGATCCCAGTTTGCTCCCCACTGGCTGCCAGTGTAGGACCCCAGTCTGATTCTCATATGCCTCAACATAGCTCTCATCATTTCGTTTGGCATCTGTTGCTCACTGAATAGGCATGGATAGGAAGTGAGAGGAGCTGGACCTGGCTAGAACTTAGATGGATCACTAGGAAATTTCGGGACTATCAGCTATAACTGGGACGTTGATAAACTATCCTGGAAAATGGCAAGGTCAAATGTGGTCCATGTGGTTACCCGGAGGTGAGTCCAACAAGGAGACGATACTTCTTTCCTTTTAATATAGCTTTGCTCCTGCTTATTGCAACGTAGATCTTATCCAAGTAAGAGATCATATCTGATTTTATATCACAGTCCCACAGAGCTTCCTGTTCAAGGAAGCCACCCGCACTTATGCTACGCATGGTCCTCAAATTAGATCACGGTTTGTCCTCTGAAGGTATAATCCAAAGGTAAGCAATTCATAGTCTTCCAGACGAGGTCAGATTGCAACTTAGGAGCACCACTCTAGCGTAGCGCTTTGTTAGGCGATGTTCTAGATCAGTGTCTCTTAACCTTGGCAACTTTTAAGAGGTGTGGATTTCAACTCCCAGAATTCCTCAACCAACACTCAAGAGTTCTGGGAGTTGAAGTCCACATGACAAGGGATGAAGAAATCAGACGATCCAGGCAGTTCAAATGGGTATAAAGATTTATTGCAAGCTTCAGCTCTGTACTAGTACAAACTACTAAGGGTCAAAGCAAATTCAAAGGAATTCAAGGTGGACCCTGACTCAGATCTCTTGTGGGCATGAAGGGATTCATGACTGATGACACGTTTGACCCCTCCCTCAGGCTCATCCTGGTTATCTCCTACACTACATGTCTTAAAGTTGCCAAGGTTGAGAAACATTTATCTAGAACCAAGCCTTCATTGAACCAGTAACACTGACCAGTCACCCTTTCTCAGCTTAGTTGGGATAAAAGATAGAGTTCCCAAAGAAAAGGCAGGCTATGAATGCAATGCATTGGTCATTCTGGGGCTATTGGGAGCTACAGCAACTAGAGGCATTGCCCAGACCTAAATCCTACAATTTCCTAGGTCAAATGCTAGACTTTGTGTTCTTCAGGATAAGATCCCATTGTGTCATCCATGAGCTGGGATAAGCTTAGTCGCATTTTTCTGATGCAGTACAATTTTAATAGTTAATAGTGCAGTCCCCTGGTCTGCAAGGCGATCAAACCGGTCAGTCCTAGAGGAGATCAACCTTGACTGCTCTTTAGAAGGCCAGATCCTGAAGTTGAAAGTCAAATACTTTGGCCACCTAATGAGAAGGAAGGACTCACTGGAGAAGAGCCCGATGCTGGGAAAGATGGAGGGCAATAGAAGAAGGGGACAACAGAGAATGAGGTGGCTGGATGGAGTCACTGAAGCAGTAGGCGTGAGCTTAAAGGGACTCCAGAAGATGGTAGAGGACAGGAAGGGCTGGAGGAATGTTGTCCATGGGGTCGTGATGGGTCGGACACGACTTCGCAACTAACAACAACAACAAGTGTAAGGGTGGGATATTACCATCAATAACTTTGTGGCCCTTGGGAATAATTTGCTTTTTGGTAAAAATGTGGTCCTTTGCAAACAAATTGCATTGCTTGGTCTGGATAATGGATAATCGTGGATCTTCTGCCTTGTTCTTATCTCTTTTGACAGGGAGATGTCAACAAATCCGGGTGCCAATGGTTCCTCCTCCCAAGTGCTCGTGGAGGAAAACCCCGTGCGGGACAGCATAAAGATTATCACAGGGGTGATTTTTAGCTTCATCTTTCTGACTGGTGTGACTGGGAACGGGGTAGTCCTGTGGGTCACTGGCTGGAAGCTACGATGGACCTCCAACACCGTCTGGTTCTTCAACCTGGCCTTAGCTGACTTGGCATCCACCTCCCTCATCCTTGTCACCGTGCTCAACTTGGCTCTTGACCTGCATTGGCCTTTTGGCTCGGTGGCTTGCAAAGTGGCCAACTGCCTGTTTGGGCTGAGCGTGTGTAGCGGTGTGCTGTTACTGAGCTCCATCAGTGTGGATCGCTGCGTGCTGGTGGTGGCTCCCGTCTGGTGCCAGAACTACCGCACCCCGCGGCTCACCTGGGCAGCCTGTGGATGCCTTTGGCTGCTGTCGTTGGCATTCTTCGTCCCCAGCTCCTACTTCTTCACCCAGGTCTCTGTGGATAACAATAACCGGAGCTCTTGCAACAACCTGGACATCTTTCAGGACTGGCAGCAAGCCGAAGTCCTCACCATTTGTATTTTCCTCTATCAGTTCCTTCTCCCCTTGCTGGTGATCTCCGTTTCCTACACAATCCTGGTGGTGACCATGCGGAAGAAGAAGCTGAACAAATCGAGCAAACCCTTCCTGGTGGTCACCAGAGTGGTCTTCTGCTTCTTCCTCTGTTGGCTCCCTTACCATGCTTTGGCTCTGGCCAGGATCTCCATGGATCTTGTGCCCGAGAGCATGCGGCTGGTAGCCATCCCCCTCTCCAAGTGTCTGGCCCTGTTCAACAGTTGCATCAACCCTCTGCTTTATGTCTTTGTAGGGCAAGAATTCCAGGATGCAGTCAGGAGATCCTTGCTGCAGGTCTTCAAGACCGCTTTCGAGGAAGCGCCTCTGGCTGCCAACCTCTGAGAGGGGTCACTGGGAAAGCGAGTCTCTCAGGATTTCACTGGCAGAAGAGGGCGTTCTCAAACCATTGGGAGCTTGTGTGTGTGTGGGGAGAGAGAGAGAGAGAGAGAACCTAAAGGACTAAAAACTAGAGCAGCGGTTCTCAACCTATGGGTCACGACCCCATTTGGGGTCGATCGACCATTTCACGGCGGTCGCCAAGCAAGGCTGTCCGCCATTTTTTTCCCCTTTTCCGGCGGGTGCCTTACCTCCCTTGGGCTGGGCCAGCTGGTGGTCGGCCTGCTCCATCTCTGCCGTTTGCCAGCTACGCCTCGGCTGGCACAGGGGGCGGAACCACGCATGTGCGGCGCTCCCGGGCAGGGAAAGTCCTCGACTTATGACCGGTTGGGTAGTCCTCGACTTACGACCGGTTTAGCCCTCGACTTACGACCGGTTTAGTCCTCGACTTACGACCGGTTGGGGGTCGCGGCATTAAAAAGGTTGAGAACCACTGAACTAGAGGCTTTTTAAAAAAAAAGAAAGCAGAAGAGAATCAAAAATTATAAGATAATTAGTGCACTGCCTTCGTGCAATGCAAGCACAGAATTGCTGGATGTGCATAACTGGGTTGGCTGTGGATCTCTCTATTTTGGTCAATGCTGGCTCCCTCCTTTTCCTGTAGTAAGTATAGTGAATCTTATCTGTGTCTGCTCAAACTTGAGTCCCCTCTGAGCTCAGTGGGAGTTACACTTCGATGAAAAAGATTGCTGCCTTACTTAAGCTAGTACAGTTACGCATCTGGTGTGTTTATCGGCTCGACTGCTCCGTTTTTCAACTTGCAGCAGCTTGCGGAGAAGCCGTCCTGCTTATCGGTGTTCAGATGTTCTCACCTCCAAATGCTTTGGGTCAGGCCAGAGACTCCTTTGGAAACTGGGGTGTGGGGGGGGAGAGGAACTGGAGCAGTTCCCTATCTCCCTGCCTCAAAATGTAAATCACTGTAAGAGCAAAATCTGCAGGGGAAAAAAAAAATCCTACTGCTCGGTGTATTTCTGTCATGGAGGCCAGTAGCTGGCTTCCTGGTTACCTTTTCAAGATTTCATCCTATTCCAGTGTTTCTCAACCTTGGCGACCTAAAATGGGTGAACTTCAACTCCCAGAATTCTCCAGTCCGCCATGCCGACTGGGGAATTCTGGGAGTTGAAGTCCATTCATCTTCAAGTGGTTAAGGTTGAGAAACGCTGTCCTAGTCTATGCATTCTTTCCTCCCTTCATTCTAGTTTATGCATTCTTTCCTCCCTTCTTTCCATTTTCCTTGTAAAAATACAATTTTTTCCTCAAGCTGAGCCTGGCTCTTGGTGGCACACAGGCATCAGGGCTGTTTTTTGGGCATTAGATGGAAATAATTGGCCACTGCTTTTACTGGAGAATTGTTATTTTGACTTCCCAGTATAGCTAATAACCCTGAGATTCCTTTACGTAATAATGTTTCTCATTCTCAGCAACTGTTAAAATGTATGGACTTCAAATTCCAGAAGTCCCCAGCTAGCTGGGGAATTCTGGGAGTTGAAGTCCACACAAATTAACGTTCCCAAATTTTAAAAACACGGATTTAGTGTGATGCCCGAGCTTTGGAACTGTAATCAGAGCCCAAGGAATTATTTAAAAAATTTAAATGGTCCCATTTTAAAAATCTAAGTATTGCAAAGCGTCCCTTTTCTGGAGGTTCCCTTTTCTGGGCACCTCTTTTCACTTATGTAGCATAGGATGATTTTTCATTTTTTTTCAAAGCCCGTTGCAGGGTTTCTGTGTCTGCACCTATGGGGACTTTTTAAACTTAATCAATCACTTCTGTCAATTAAAATAGGAACCTGTGTTTTGCGCTCCTTGAGGGAAAACCAAGATATATACTGTGAGTTATTTTGAAGAAAGTTCTCTGTCTAAGAAGAAGGTTTGAGTCCATGACATTATTTAATCAGAATCATAGTTCCCTCTATTATCAAGGAAAACCTGCTCACCTTCTAAGTTAGCTTTCAGATAGGGTTATATTCCTGAAATGGTCAATGCTTAAGATAAATTAAGAGGATCCTTACATCACTTTCATCATTAGAAAGAATAGGACCTCTTTGTTTCTCGGCCATTACTAGCAAAAGCTCTCACTGTTCCCGAAATGTTTTTGTTTGTAAAGATCACCATCAAGAAGCACAGTGTACCTTGGCTACCATTATCCCATCCTTCATAATGTCCTGGGGTGGTAATAGCCACTGTTAATTAATTCACTGAAAAGCAAGAGAGTGTGGCCGTTCTCTAGAATGGATAGGATAATCTCTTCCTTCTGCTTTTAAGTGACCATCTAAAGACCACATCCCCTAAAATCAATTATACCAACCCTTTTTATTTTGTGTAGAGCATGGGGTGAGGGATTTGGGGGGGGGGAAGTTCTACCTTTTTAATTTGCTTCTTGGAGAAAAAAAAAACACTCATTCCATTACCATGGTTAGGTAGCCTGTTCTTGAGACTAGAGAAATAAGATTGGAGAGGCGAATGTGACCCACCCACTAAAAAGAGAAGAATCTCAAGTTTTGTCTGGATTTTCAGCTGCAAAGAGACTTCTAAGACCATTTATGGCCTAGAAAGATGGAGAGCCGTCTTTCCAGAGCTTTAAAGAAGAGTATTTGCTTTCTGGATGGCTACAGACCCCTCTCTCTCCATTCAATTTTGTGGCTGATTTTAAGTGAGACATTATCTCCCTTACTTCAGATCAAGTTTCCTACTGAGGAACTTTACCAGTGTGCGAAACTAAAACCAAAAGTTGGATTGTGCAAGAAAACTAATTCCAACTAGCTAGCAACCAGACTTGGTTAATGATACAGGATGTCTCAAATGATGGCTCTCGTCTCTGGACTGTTTCAGCAAAATGTGGCTAGCTTTGCATATTTTGCATAAAGCAAGGACTCAAGCTAAAAAATTGCCTATTCTTTGGCCCCCCAGACTGATTGTGGTGGAGGAAGAAGCATAAAACAGCTATCTGCTGCTTAAGATAACAAAATTTAGAGATGGGGAGCAAATTTAGGGACAGCCACCCTCTCCTGCCATCATCCAACTCCTACCACGTCTTACATCCTAATGTGCTTGAGGATGAACCACATGCATTTTTAGAAAAAGATAGCCCATTAACCTTTAAAAGCTTGTTTTCCCACCGTTTTTAGCAGCTACGGTTGCCCAGCATGTAAAGGTTTGTTGTAATCGCATTGTTTTCGTATGTTGTCTGAATTCAACCCGTTTGGTTAGCTTACACAGCTTGACGTATCATGTAAGTGCAGATGTGTTTAGTTACTAGGTTCAGCATAGCCTAACTGTAAAATTAAGTCACTTTTTGGAGGGGTTGTCTTGACATTTTTATACTTTTCTCAGCCTAGCCGAGAACACTTCAGCACGCTACTTGAAGGTAAGAGTTGAGGCTCATCTTATAGTGTATCTCAGCCATCCTCTGGAGGGTCAGTGGTACCCCCTGCCAAATGCCTGTCTTGTTACTACAATTGCCATAAGCCCCTGCAGGCAGCAACGAGGCACCAGGCATTCTATGATGGACGGGGATAATCTTTCTCTCATCATCTCCATACCGCAGTGTCTCCCTGGGAGGATGAGTGTAGAACAACCAGCCTCTGATGTAAATTCATCGTCAGAGCCGGTTCTAGCGAGGCACAATGTTCTCTGCCATGCAAAAATCCTTTGATTAGCCCAGCGGCTGCCAATTGCACAGGATGAACAAAGGACAGTCATTTTTAGTAGAATCACCGGCTGAATCAGAGAAGCAGGACGATCAAAAGACAAAACCCTAGCATGGTAGTGAAGCTTTTCGAGTATGGGTGGAAGAGCTGCTGGAAAAGCAAAACTTATTTTCTTCATTAAAAAAAAGGCACATAAAATCTTATTTATAAGATGGACAGCTTGTAGACTAGTCTCCATCTCCAGATACGGGTGGTGATGGCGACACACACACACAGGGCCAGACACCACAGTAACCAGTTTTTAAAATTCAAGGGCATAAAATGCTTTAGATCTCTTTTGGTATTCTGGCCCTCAACCTCCGGAAACACGTCCATGGGGAAACCGTGGGATACTTGCTGCTTCAAATGAGGTTGTGGGGTTAAACAGCAGTCAAAATACTGGTTAAATCATATCCCTTTCTAGTTTTTCAACCTGCAGCCAAGGATGATCAGTAGTCAATTAAGAAGGTAGGCTGGGTTGTGGTCCTTCTAAAAAAAAAGAGACCTAAGGGTTTCTTTAATGCAGTATTCTCAACCTGCGCTGCTTGAAGGTATATGGATTTCAATTCCAGGAATTCATGTTGGTTGGGGGAATTCTGGGTGTTGAAGTCATCGTCAAGTAGCCAAGATTGAGAAACACTGGTTTAATGGTTGTAGATGCTCCTGAGGGGGAAATCCAGGCGTTGGGAGAGTGCAAACCTTTGCAGTTAGAAGAAAAACTGGCTATAAATTGCTAAGCTTGGATGTGGGGTTTTTCTCTTGGAAAATGTCTGCTTGCTTTGAATTATGCTGTTTGTATATTTATAAATAAAGCAAGTGGGATAAAGACATCACAAGTCTCCTATGCCTTCCCGTCTAGAAAGAGGTTTGGAATGGGTGATGGGGTCCTGTTTAATACATCATTTCTTGAATTAAAATACCCCCAGGCGTTGGGACTGTTGATCCTGAAACCTTTTGTTTTCCACATTGGTCATCAAAGGAACACAAATAAGGGTTCTGTGCACACAAGGCAAAACCCCAGAAGATCCATTACAAAAAGCACCAGAACTGGTTTGATTCAAGACCGTGTTGACAGTGGCGCGCTAATTTTCATTGGGAACTCTAAGCCCCACTCATTAAAAAGAAATTCTATGCAAATTTTCTTCATGAGCCATTCCTGCTTCCCACCTTCTCACCAGCCCAGCTGCCAGCAGTTAATTTTAACAACAGATTTTGATAAATTAAACCCAAGTACGTAAAAGGCTAGGTCCTTTCATTGTAGCAAATGATAGAACGAATGAAACATGCAGGGTTTTTTTTGTGTTTGTTTTGCCAAAAGCATGACTAGAATAGAAAAAGCAGGCAGAATAAATGAGGCATAAAAGATGTGACTGAAATCTTTTCAACAAGCTGAAGGACCCGATCCAGCTCCCAAGCAGCTCGGCTATTCCCCAAAGTAGGGTTTTTCAACCCTTTCAGATGTGTGGACTTCAACTCCCAGAATCCCCCAGCCAGCAACTTTTAAGACTTGTGGACTCCTACCGGTTTTCCTCCGCGCCCTCATTTCAAAAGAACTCACTGACCCAGCTTCAATCTTACCAGCCTTGTTAAGTAACGATCGAGCATTTTATTAATCGGAGAGAGGAGAAAAATAAAACACGTGTACACACACATACACACAGACAAAAGAAAATCTGACATTTTAAAAATGACGTTCCGCTAATGGAGCACGGGAGACAGTGTGTAAGTGTGTGTGTGTGTATGTGTTAGGGGGGGGGGTTTGAGTGGTTAGAATACACACTTCTTTCACATGTCCAGTGCAAGTATTAGAGAGCCGACAGCAAGGAACTCAAAGGTGCTGAAGAAGGAAAACTGGGACATCATCGAGGCAAAGCTGGAAGGGACGAGGAAGTTCTACAGTACAGAAATCAGATCTCCCATCAATCAAGAGCCCATGGGACCATTCAAGCATGGAGAAACCACCCCCCCCAATGCCCCCTCTTCTTCTGCCAACTGATGCGTCGTTCATCAAAGAGCATCTTTTCGTTTTGCACCACCAGAATTTGGGAATGGTTCCAGTTTGGAGGTTCAGTGGGAATATGGGACAAAATTGAGCCTGGAGGTAGTCTCCCACTGTGATGAGCCAAAGCAACTTGAGTTTTCTACTCTACAGCCTATGCCAGGGGTAGGCAACCTCGGCTCTTTTATGACTCATGGACTTCAACTCCCAGAATTCCTGAGTCAGCCTATCCCTGGCCTATGTCAACTGTTCCACAGCTTGCTTGCTTGCTCTCTCTCTCTCTCTCACACACAGACACACACACACACACACACACACACGTACACCAAATAGCTACCTCCTTCCAGCAAAGGCCAGGGAAAGGAAACAGAAAGGGCACAGAAATAGAATCATGCAGAGGAACTGGGAAACACTGTACTAGGAAGCCTAATAAACCGAGAGGTCTAAATCAAGGATTTAACTACCCTTCTACCTTCTCTGGAGCAAAACAACCGAGGCGTTGGATTTTGAGTGAAGGAACGCGTTTCATTGACTGATACTTTCAACGGCGAGGAGGAGGGAAAAGATGGCGGCTTTAATCATCGGGATGGAAAAGGGACCAATCGGGCCGAGCGTGGATTGGAGAGAACGCTCAACTGGGTATCTCATGCACAGTTACGGGCTGCACGGCGATGGCATTCCCATGCAAACTGTGGCCCAAAAAGGGACAGGAGGCTTCCACGAATCGATTCTGCCTCCCATTCCCCTGCTCTGGGGGTGGGTGGGTGGGTCACCTGTGGCCCCCAGAGGGTGGGAACAAAAGGGTAAGTTGAACCTGACCATTATGAGAAGGGGAGAGAATGTCACAGCTGCCCAAGAAGGTCTGACAACACGGAGCTAAGAGGAGAAGAGGCAGGTGGGACTCCCGAGAGGACAATAGTCAGCCATGGCCTATTCCATCATGTACATCCAATAGGAGATGGGTGGGCTGGTCATACACATGCAGGGAAAAGGGAGAAAGATAGTTGGCCCAACAGCATCCAAGTTGGAGAGACAACAGAGCCAGGTCCTGGATTCAAGCTAACGTCAACACTGTAGGGGAGAGAGGAAAAGGGTGTATTACATGTTCATAGTTTACGAAAGCTAATAAACTATTTCATGAACAGCTGTAGGTTCAGTTGTGCGGTGCCCGTTGTACACTGTTGCTCACACATGCTAGGATTAATTTGAAAAGGAGAGTTCCAGGTGCAGTCAGGCCTCGGCTATTTAGGTGCTCATCGGCCAGTCCCTGCAGGGTGCAAGTGGGATCTTCTGCTACAACTTTCACATCATCGCAAACGTGTAGCTGACCCTGAGTAACTGTGTACACAGTTCCCCCCCGTCCTGGAGAACCATGGTGCTCCAAGAGTTCACGGAAGCCAACCCTGAATTATCAGGGGGATTGAGCTTTTGAGAAGATCCACATCTCCAGTGCTGTGAAACTCTTACCCAGGCCTGGGGTTCTGCTTATGCGTTTCCCACAAATATTTGGTTGGCTGCAAAGGGAAACTAGGGTGCTGACTATGAGACCTTTTGAGATGATTTTGGAAAGTAATCCTCACAGATAAAGTTAGCATACTTAGGCCCAAGATCACCAACACCCCATAGATTTCCCTCTCTAAAGTGGTTACAAAGGTGCTGATCAAGAAACTTCTCCTGGAAGCCTTCTGATGGAAACAGCTAACAGCAGGAGAAATAAAGGACCATGTGCACTCAGGCTGAATGCCAAGTGAGCTTGAAATCACCTTGGAAACAGAAATTAAAGAGGAAGCCTAAGAAAAGAGAAGGTTTATGTCCTTCCTCCATAAGGCCTTCCATGGTAAGAATTAGGCAGCGGTCTAGCAAGAAAAGAGAAATGCACTCTAAAAGTGTTAGGTTAAGATGGGGGAGGGAGGGAGGGAGGGAGGGAGGGAGGGAGGAAGGAAGGAAGGAAGGAAGGAAGGAAGGAAGGAAGGAAGGAAAGAGAGAACATTTTTAGCTCAGGGTTGAGGTGTGGGGTCACTGGAGCTCTCTGAGCTTAGCTATTTTCTTACAGACATTTCATTACCCAGCTAGATAACAACATCAGTGCACTGTGCAGTGATGTTACCTAGTTGGGTAATGAAACATCTACAAAAATAACCAGAGAGAGAGAGAGAGAGAGAGAGAGAGAGAGAGAGAGAGAGAGAGAGAGAGAGGGAGGGAGAGGGAGAGAGAGAGAGAGAGAGGGAGGGAGGGAGGGAGGGAGGGAGAGAGAGAGGGAAGGAAGGAAGGAAATAGGCTCAACTCCACTAGGGACAGCACACTCACCAGTCAGTGCCTCCTGGGCAAAGTATTTGACATCCACATCAGGGTCCTGGGTGAGTTTCTCTAGCACCGGCTTCACCTCATTCTGAAGGGTGCTGGGAAAAATAAATAAATAAAGGCAGAGAATGAGGGGGAGGAAGTAGGCAGAAGGCCCTCTATCTAAGATTCTCCAAAGCTTCAGTATTTCCACTTTAGCAATAGCACTTAGCTTTATATACCACTTCACGGTGCTTTACAGCCCTCTCTAAGTAGTTTAGAGTCAGCACATTGCCCCACAACAATCTGGGTCCTCATTTAACCCATCTTGGAAGGATGGAAGGCTGAGTCAACCTTGAGCTGGTCAGGATTAAGTTCCTGGCTGTGGGCAGAGTTTAGCCTGCAATACTGCATTCTAACCACTGTGCCACCACAGCTTCTATCTCTTCTCTTTTGTCTCCTCCCACCCCAATGACCAAGATAAGCCCCAAACCCAGATGGCACCCACAACAAGTTATTGTTCCCCGTACCTGTTATCCAAGATTGGTCCAATTTTTTGAAGTGACTTGGCAACATTGAAGCGAACATTTGCTACTGCGTCACCGGCCATCCGCAATACCGTGGGAAGCATGTGCTTGGTGGTGATTTCCTGGCCACAGACCTCTGACAGCACCTAGCAAAGGAAGAGCCAGGAAGGTCAATCAAGGGCCCTATGCAACTTGGATCTGAGGAGCTCTTATAATTAAGAAGTTTGCGGTTCTGACCCCGGGCGTCACGGCGACACGGATGAAAGAAAGCGGAGCTCCGGTTTCCTAGTCCGATTTCGCTTTGTCTGGAGACCCAAAGAGGTCAGAAAGTCGCCCTGGAGAGGCAACGAGGAGGAAGGGAAACCTTGAGAGTTCGGACCCAACGGCGGTTGGCCCAAACGGACCGAGGAAGCTCTTCAAACCGGCAGGAGAAATGTTAAAGAAACACATAGACCAGTGGTGGCGAACCTATGGCACGCATGCCAGAGGTGGCACTCAGAGCCCTCTCTGTGGGCACGCACGCCGTTGTCCCAGCAGAGTTCACCAGCGTAGTGAGCAATGTGGCATTTGGAAGCGACAGGGCAGGAAGTGAGTGAGCAAGCGGCGTTGGCCCCCCGGCGATGCCATGCTCACCCAGTCTGCTGTGACTACTACAGCCATGCCCACCCAGTGGGCCACGCCCATCCCCCCTGAGGGCACCACAATGTTGATGCAGCCCTGGCACTTTGCGATAAATAAGTGGGTTTTGGGTTGCAGTTTGGGCACTCGGTCTCTAAAAGGTTCGCCATCACTGACATAGACTATAAACCTGATTTTTTTTTTTACTAGGCATAATGCCAGAAAAACCTGATAAGCAAAGTACATATTTGATTCTACATGGGATAACAGCGGCAAGAATTATATTTGCACAATATTGGAAGAACGAAGAAATACCACCGGAAGAAGAAATAAAATCAAAAAAATATTGGACTGTGCGGAAAATGGACAGACTTACTTTAAGGTTGAAAGAAAAAGAAGAAACGGAATATTTTCAAACTTGGGACCTATTTTAGCGATGGCTAGAGAAAAGATTTAGGGATTAGGAATTTAATTTGTATTAGTGAATAAGATACTCAGACAACATGTTTTTGCTGAATAATTATTATTATAACTCTGTTAAAAATAATAATAAATCTTTAAAAAAAGAGAAGAAGTTTGCTGTTTTGGAGCTGGGCTTATGCTGACCTTGTTCTGCAGCTCTTTGATTCAGTTCCCCAGCAAGGCCATCTGCTCTTCCCAACCAAAAAGTCCCAGGTCCCAAGGACAATTCTTACTTATCCCAGTTCATGCACTGACTCTTTACAACCAGTGCCCACACCTCCTTCCACGTTCCCGCAATTTGTCCCGTTTTTTCTTCTTGCTCATCCCTTCCCCAACTCACGTTGATGCAGAACAGCGTAGTCATGCGGTGCAAATAGTTGGGGTCATTCGACATGGCCAGCACCTTGGGGATGATGGTGGCATGAGCCCAGTCCTTGCCAAACTTCTCCACAAGCTTCTTAAGGTTGCTGGTGGCTGCTTCTCGGATGGCATAAACTGCATGGAAGAAATAATGAGCCATAGAACAGATTAAAGAATATCACACACATATTCCAAAACAGCTACACACAGAATACTTAAGGGAGCCAAGTTCTGGTAGTTTTGCCACAATATCTACGATTTGATTTGAGATATACCTGCAATAATCACACGATTTTCTGTTTCAACAGGTCAGGGGTAGGCAACCTTGGCTCTTTTATGACTCGTGGACTTCAACTCCCAGAATTCCTGAGCCAGCATGGCTCAGCTTGGAAACCTTTCCCTTTCCCCTCAGCACGGCTGGCTCAGGAATTCTGGGAGTTGAAGTCCACCAGTCGTAAAAGAGCCAAGGTTGCCTACCCATGCAATAGGTGAATTCTGCAGCACACAGAGATATTCAGGGATACGGGAGAGTGTCAAAGATTATGAGAGGGAAAAAATAACCTGAATTTTTAAAAAAAATCCTCTCTCTAAAATGCAGAGATACTTTGGGGCTGCAGAAATACCTTTTAATTAGAGAAAGTGTGACTGACCACGTTTCTATCGTGCATTTTGACACTGGCCAAATTGCTATTCTTTGCTGGAGTCCTATCTATACATTTTTCTTGGAACCCAGCATGGGAAACCAGTTCTATTTTATGCCACAGGCAGCATTTCTAATTGAGCCGACTGTATTCTTTTTGCAGTCTGCATTACCTCTTTCCTATCCAACTGGAACTGATGGCCCCTGGAAACTGAAATATAATTGTGAGAGCTTTGCTACCGTTGGCTTCCACTGGCAATTTATATCCTCATTTGATGCCGTACCTACGCGGTGCCTATCCCAGAAATAACTGAAACTGACAAGAGAATTTCTAGGTTGAAAATGAGCTTTTAACCACGTTATATAATTACCAGTCAGAGTTTGAACACATTTTATTAGGCGAGAATGAGACCAAAAAGCGCAAATTCACTAGTATCATTAACACGCTCAAAATGGTACAGAAAACAATAAAAATAACTGAAAATTATACGAATGCTGCATACCGAATAATCAAAAGTTTGAAACAGGGGCAAAAAAAAAAGACGAAAAAAGCTAGAGTGTTGTAATTTATTTATTTTTTTGGTAATGTACTTGCATTAAATCAGAAATTAATTGCTAGAAAAGATTATCCCATTAAATACCAAAATGTGATTCAACCTTTTTTTCCTTTAGCACTAAAAGCCTTCAATGATTCACTTTCTCAGCTGGAGAAAATTGCTGACACAATGTATCCCATTAATTCTGAAATATGCTTTCAGTGCTATAGATTACTAGTTGGGTAAAAGCACTTCCAATTTTAAAAATGTGGACCAAAAACCCAATAACTACTTTAACTTATATTCTCCCTTTGAACGACAGCCTCTTTTCTTCTATATGTAATTGGGATGAACTGCATGAAAATTTGATCTGGTGGTTTAAGGCGCCAGGCTGGAAACCAGGAGACGGTGAGTTCTAGTCCCACCGTAGAACCTTAGGCAAGAAAGCTGGCTGGCTGACTTTGGACCAGTCACCCCCACTCAGCCCAACACACCCCACAGGGTTGTTGTTGTGGAGAAGGAAGGTGTATTAGGTACGTTCACTGCCTGATAAAGGCGGGATAAAAATCAATCAATCCAATATGTCTTTAGTAGCTGAGATGAAGGAAAGTGTGCTCCTATTCCTATGAGACATTTACCATTTTTAAAAAACTGATTAGTAACCTCCACTTGATACCCATGAAAAAAGTTATATAAAGTGGTTTAAGTTATCAACTATGAAACAGATACATGAACTAAATATCTAGGGCAGTGATGGCGAACCTTTTAGAGACCGAGTGCCCAAACTGCAACTCAAAACCCACTTATGTATCATCGTGTGCTGGGTGGGCATGGCCCAATTGGGTGGGTGTGGCTGCAGTGATAACAGCAGACTGGGTGGGACTAAAAAGTTCAATCAATTCCAACTTCGCGAGATCTTTTTTTTCCCCACGAGAAGTTGAAGTTGATTGATTAAACCTTTTTTTTTTTTGCACACGGCGGCAGAGGCCTAAAGCAAAAAGGTTTTATAAAACCCAGCTGAAGGCCTAGGACTGGGACGATGGCATGTGTGCCCAAAGAGAGGGATCTGCGTGCCACCTGTGGCACGCATGCCATAGGTTTGCCACCATGGATCTAGGGCATTTAGATATATGAAAAACCAGTGACAAAAAATAAGAAACCAATCTTCACTAAAGATGTTATTCCAAGGATTCAGTTCAAAAAAGAACTTTGTACTAAAAGTTACCCACTGCCCTGCACTTACTGGGAGCCACTGAAAGCTTTTTCTCAGATGGTCTCACGTTCAGTATGGAATATGTAAAAAGAGCTAACTCTTCAAATATCCTACTCAATAACTCCAGAGTTTACCATATAAGCCTGATTGGATTATATTCTCCATCCAGAGAATGGAGATCTGAGGAAGTGCTTCCGGTCCATATGAAACTGCAGCTGGCATAATAGTTAAAACTAAAGATGCCCTGAAGCTATTAATGCTTCTAGAGTTAAACACAGAATTAATCGCCACTTCGAAAAGTCAGATTCTGGTGATTTCAATATTCGATTTATAACCATAATGGAGCCTGCCAATGGCACATCACATGACCAACCTGATTTTAGGACCTTTTTTTGCAGCAGTTAAGCAAATCTATTGCTTGTTGTTGGGTTTTTTTGCCAAATATCGGAAGAAAATGCCAGTTTTTTTGGCAAAGACACTGCAAATTGTGTTTATTTGACCACGGGATGCTACAAGCGGCCTTAAGCACAGGCCAGATGTCAGGTGCCCCCAAAATGGTCATATAACTGGGGGGTGGGAGCATGGCAGCCATCAGAACGTTGGAATCAGGTTGTAAGCACCTTTTGGGTGCTGTTAAGCAACTGATTGTAACTGAAAAACTACTTGTAAAAATGCAGATACCTTCAGATTTGGAACTGTACCTTCCTTGGCATGTACCAGGCAACTTAGAAGTGAAGTGCATAATTGTGAACCAATGTTACAGGAGATGACTGGTAAAGGAGAAACGAGCCACTATCAATCATCAGGATCTGAGTCTTACCATGATCCACTAGCCAGGCCATGCAAAGGGAGTTTAGCTTCTCATCAAAGAATTCCACACCCTGAAGACAGGGAACATTAAAAGTGACAGCAAATGAATCAGCAAGGTTGCAAATTACGAGGTTACAAATAAAGTTATAGAATCCTCATCCTTAAACAAAAAAACAAACGAACAGAACAAAAACAGAAATCTGGAGAAACAGACTTTGTTCAATTAGCAGACCCTTCAGGGCAACCCAATAGGTGATCATCAAATTTGGAGATTTTGACAAAACAGCCCTAGCAGAATTAATCACAGAAAAGCAGGAACCCTACAAGCACCTGTGGCTATTCACATTCTAACTGATTTAATAATGTCCAGGTTGCTGAGTAAAAAACAGAAATGTTTACAGTTATTTTCAAACAGTAAAAAAAAATCCCCACACTCACCAGCTGTCCAGCTAACAGGGGCATATACTCAATAATAGCTAACCGCACACGCCACTTGGCATCCTCTGCTAACTCCACAATTGCTGGCAGCAGAGACTGAGACAACTGTCGGATGCCAATCACTTCATTCACACAGTCCAGGTTGGAGATGATGTTGAGTCGGACCTCAGGGCACTGCAGAAAAGAGACAGACGGATGAGAATGGAGAAGACTCACTGCCACAATGGTCACTTCTAAAACGCTTCCGGATGTGCTAGTTTAAGGGGAGGTTCCTAAGAACATAGGTAAGATGAAAAAAGGGAACAAAAGTTAAAATGTTCAAATTTCTGAATAGCTAAAAGATGCCGATATTAATGCAACTAGTTATAAGGTTTTGAAAAAAAAAATCCTGTATAACAAATGCAGTTGATGCTATTCAGAAAGCTGTTCATCCTAGAAGCCGGAAATGTCGTCTATAAATTGCCTAAGATCATTTAACTAGAGGTTAAGGTATATACATGCCTTAACACTAACCCAGTGTTTCTCAACTGGGGCAATTTTTCAAATGTGTGGATTTCAACTTGCAGAATTCTGGGGGGTTGAAGTCCACACATCTTTAAGTCGCCAAAGTTGAGAAACACAACACTAACCAATAGATTTTCTTTAATTATTCTTACTCAATTATCTCAGTGCAGTGAAGCCATCTGAGTAGACAACACTACTCTTTACCTCAAAGTAAACCACAAAGACCCTTAAGTGACCTCAAAAATAGGGGGAGGGAAAGAACACTCACCTCGTCTTTGAGCTGAGCCAGGAAGAGAGGCAAAAGATGCTCAATTGTGTTGTCCTTGCCCAGAATAGGAGACAATCCCATGATCACGGATGCCAAAGCTGATTTCACGTGTTGATTGGCATCTGATACTAGTTCCTAAATAATAAAATGGCATAATTTAAGGCATCACAAGCTATTTATGCCACGCCTCCGATCTGACTGCCTTTATACACACCATTGCTGCCATCTTATTTGTTGAATGTAATAAACAACTGGAATATTGGAATATATCTCAATGTCAATGTATTCACACCTACAATCTATAAACCTCTACAATCAGACACTCATAGACACATATCTAGAACACACGTTCATAGAGGAAGTCAACCAGATTCTCTTTACAATTTGGTCACCTTGCAAACATCAATGTTTTAGAGGCAGAAGCACGCAACTGCTTCTTTTGTACGTGTTCTCTTTAAAGACAATTCCTCCAGTCTTCAGCCTTCCTGCAAGCATGCTTCCGATTGGGCCAGTTAAAACTATGAACTGATGCTTTTAAGAACCATTCAAAAGTTACCAGAGAAGATAGCTTTCTGGTACGTACCTTGATACAGGGCAAAATCTGAGTCATGATGATATTTTCACGACAATCAGGAGACAAATTTTCACAGAATTCTTGGGAAAGAAAGATGGAGAAACAAGAATTTCAGTGCAGATTTCACCCAGGTAATATATTTTTTTTCCTAATTATCAACTAAATACTTAAACTTCTCCGGCCCAACATAAGACATACTATATATTAATCCTTGAAACTGTAGGCAAAAATATTCCTGACCTCTGTTCTGAAAACTTAAAAGTCTTCCTACAGCTGGATCCAGACAATTGTCTTAGGTCTACATATTAAGTGCTTAAAACAATTACACAACTAGATGTATTTAATGAAACAAATTCTTCTTTTCTTGCCCAGAGTCCATCCCTTTCAGAAATACAGATGTCCTTGATTTACAAGCCAAACTGGGACCAGTATTTCCACTGCTGTACAAGGCAGTTGTTAAGTGACTCGTGCTCAATTTTATGCCCTTTTTGCCGTGGTTAAGTGAATCACTGTGGATAAGCAAATATAAGGTTGTTAAGCAAATCCTGCTTCCCCCACTGACTTTGCTTGCAAAAAGCCAGCTAGGAGGGTTGCAAAAGGTGTTCACTGGATCACGGGGACACTGCAGCTGTTGTAAATACACGCTGGTTGCATGTATTCTGATCACATGACGATGCTGATGCTGCAACAGTGGCAAGTCATTTTTTCGAATGCTGCTGTAACTCTGAACAGTTGTAAACGAATGGCTGTAACTTGAGGGCTACCTGTACAGGGAAATTCTATAGAAATATCAAGACATCTTGATATTGACTAAAAATAACCTTTGACTTTGCTGGAGGCTGCAGCTCGCACTTCAGCTTCACAGTCTTTCATGAGATTCTGGAAGGCTGGGACCAAGTCGGTTTTTGTGATTTCTGGCCCAACAGCTTTCTGGAGCTATAGGAGGGGAAAAACAAAAAACAGTCCCAAAACTGACCATGCAAACACTCCAAAATAGGAAAACTTTCCTCCCTGCCAGAAAGAATTCTACCCACGAAAACTCTTGGTCTGCAGAGGAACAAAAGCACTGGTACATTTTAAACATTTACTGTAATTTAACTTTCAAAAATGAAGAGAACGTAAACGTCAAAATACACAAGTATTTGTACAAACCTCTGTGAATTTCTCAGCCACCATGTAACGGACTCGCCAAGATTTGTCCTCGGCGGCTTGTCGTAACGTCGGCATCACCAAGGACTCCAAGTCCTCCTGAAGCAGGAGCTGCGCAATATTAACACAGGCCTCCACAGCCAACAAGCGCACAGAGTCCTGTGTGTCAACATGAAGATCTTCCTCACAAAAAGCACAAGGGGTAGACAGCCCACCCCTCGGATTCAGCTCGCTCCCCTTTATCCTCCCCCCCCCAAAGCTAACACGATGCCATACACAGACCTGCTCGTCAGACGCCAGGTTCGAAAACATGGGGATGATCTCGCTTTTGACATATTCCAGTTCCAAGACCTTGGCAAATTCTCCCAGTTTGGAGGCTGCGGCTCGCCTCACCATTGGCGTATCGTCCGAACACAAATTTCGGAAATATCTGCCAAAAAAAAGAAAAGAAAAAAGAAAAGGCAGCAACTTATTAAGGACAACATACTGGAACGGGGGAAGAATCTCTCCTCTTTTGATTATTTGGAATTTTATGACGGGGTCCCGGTTTTGACTGCAAGGCATTTGACTTACTGGCGGAGGTCAGCTTTCACTGAGCTGGAAACTCGGGGATAACAGACGCTGAAGAGGCCGCAAGCAGAAGTGCGAGAGGTGAACCAGTCGCCTCCCGCCAGACGCTTCACCAGGGGCACGAAGTGAGCCTCAAGGTCAGCTGGAGAATGTTCATTGGAGGTTGCCCTCAAGGACTCCACGGCCTTGTCCCGCACCACCGTCTCTTCCACTGTAGCAAGGCTTTCGAGCGGGGGCTGGAGAAAGGAGGAAGAGGAGGAAATGGCACATTATGTATGCATTTTCCACGAACCACCAGGAAGGAAAAACCTAAGAGCTCGCCAATATTTTAATGGTTGGCTTGTTTGTTTGAGTTCGTCATAGGAATTCAAGTAATGCCACTCTTTTTCCAAGAGGAGAAGGTGATGAGAAAGCTTACACAGGGAGCAAGGAATGTGACAGAAAATTGGGATTTGTGCGTTCAAATGGGAAACGTTACATTCCAGTCATACTATTCTATCTGGGTACAATTCTAACTTTGGGGGGAAAAAATCCCCCTATACTGTTATTGTTAAATCCACCTATAATGTGGAATCAAACAATGATCACCAACTATCATTTTAATACTTTTATTATTTTGGAAGGGGATAAACATTTTCTTTACTAATTAACCAAACCAACTAGGATCCTAGCCACCCAGGCTAACTTCTCAGCAGCTTGGTCATCTGGGCATTTAACAAAGTGCGTACCCCAATTTCATCTTTTGAAAGGAACGGAAGTGGTTCTTCCATTTTCCTTCTGTGTTAGTCACTCTTCCCGAGTCCTTCACAGAAAGTGGCCTATAACTTACCAGCAAGCAGTGGACATATTCAGGCCCCCCGACCAAAGCTGTAAAAGTTCCCAGCTGTTCTGCCAGAGCAAGTAAGACCTCATCCTCATCATAAATAGTATCTGCAAGAAGTAAAAAAAAAACAAAAAACCAATAAAAAGTAAGATAAAGCCTGTATATTCTTAGAACAAAAAATGAGAAAGCGCCAATTCATGAACAATTTATTTTTATTATTCTTCCACATGTATAGGGAGAACTGAGAGGCAGTCAAACTGAGTCTCTGAATAGCTGGACTGATATTTATTTTTTAAATGGTCATAAATAGGACTGAGTTTAAATGCCTACAACAGGGGGTCTTCAAACTTGGCCCTTTTATGACTTGTGGACTTCAACTCCCAGAATTCCTCAGCCAGGCACGCTGGCTGAGGAATTCTGGGAGTTGAAGTCCACAAGTCATAAAAGTGCCAAGTTTGAAGACCCCTGGCCTATGGGAACATAGAAATCTAATGAAAGATTTGATGAGACACACATGAACCACGGTAGAACCGTGCCCAATTTAATATAACACCATCAATATTTCACAAACTGTCTTGGGAAGATCCAAGAATCAATACTGCGCAGAATTTGAATACTTTAGAATATAAAATACTCTATACAACTCCAAAGGGACCTCAATGATACACACTGCTTACAGGAAATGATTCCATATCTGTTGGATTACAACTTCAATCAACCCCAGGCCAGCATGATCAATGGTCCGGAATGGAGCTATTGGGCAAAATGTCTGGAATGCTTCATGTTAGGGGAAATCTGGCATACAATTTCAGACTTGATTGCCATGAGATACAGATGTAGGTCCAGGAAAACTGTATTTCCACATTTTTTTTTCTTTTTTGTCAGGTTTATATATTGTTGTTAGTTGCGAAGTCGTGTCCGACCCATCGCGACCCCATATAAAGATGATTAACTTATTTAGATATTACCTGTTCCCAAAATTACTAATGACAAATGAAAGCTGAAGTGAGGAGGTTAATCGTTCATAAAGAGGAGAAACATCTGACAACTGAAACATACACGAGTTAATGCAGATCAGCAAAGAATTAGCCCCCATGAAATTTCACTACCCTTTGGAAGATTCTGGGATTCTGTCAATGAGCATGGTGTAAAGGATGTCACAGTATTCTGCAGGATCTTCATGCTCACAGAGCAGGCACGGGGCAATCCTCAAAAATGAATGACTGGAACAGAAATGTGCCCAAACTGTTCCACATTCTATTTCCTACCTAGCCTAGTTCCACATTCTATTTCCTACCTTGCCAAGTATTTTCATTTACCTGTGAGAAAAGGCAAGAGCTCGCTGCGCGTCCTCTCAACACCCAGGGCCAGTGCAATGGTAGAGAGTTTCTTGATGCTATTCAGACGAAGCTGCATATGGGGGGAAGAAATGCAAGGAACAGATTCACACAGATGAACCATGAAGAGAAATATGCCAGTTTTGCCTGAATGCTGAATACTGACTTTATATATAACTGAAACTATTATGGCACTAATAAAGCACTCCATTTTTATACACATCTTCATAATCCACCCACATGGTAGCAGGTGCCTCTTTACATATATTTATTCAAACATACAAATCTGTCTGCACATCTACGTATATAATCATTGATATATATAGATAAAAATAGTATGTATGGCTAATATAAACCACAATTTTTCTTTTGTTCCAATTCTATAAATAGGTGCTAGCTCCCTATCTAGATTGTCTAGTGCATGCTGATTTTTTTAAATCTTTCTACAAATTATGACTGCATGAACTGTCAAGATCTGCAACTGAATAATCCTGATTATCCAGGGTTATATACTACTAAGATGATAGGATATAATGAATACAACACTCAGCAAGACTTCACCTTCCCCCCCCCCTTCTTTTCCCTCACACAAAAGCTACGGAGCTGCTGTTTACATCTGATGTGTAATACATAATAATGCTCTTATTCTCCATTTATCTGTGATACATTAAGCACAGATATATATAGTGTAAAAAATACAGACTGCTCCTTTAGATGACCATTTACTCCTATCCTGGTGTATTGCTTTCATTCATCTCCAACAGGCACTGGATTCCTTTTCAAGTGAAGCATGTGTATAAGTGTAAACTGGAAAAAAAATGATGGTGGTGGGGGCACTATTTTCAAACAATAGTGTTTTTCCACCCCAACCACTGGTGGGTTATTCAATTGGAGATGTCTTGTTGAAAGTTTAGATGCATACAGTTGTATCCCATTCTGCTGAATTAGTTCAGTTTCAAGGGTCTGAAAGGACACTGCCTAGCATGTCCATTTGCTCAAAGTAAAAATGAAAGTTAGAAGCTTCCAGATAGGACTGCATCCTTCTGAAGAATCAATTTCATCACCAGAATCCCTGTTCGCTCTTACTTTATTGCAAGGCAGTGTTTCTCAAATGTGGTAAGTTACTATAGGATGCATGAACTTCAATTCCTCAATTTCCCCAGCCAGCAGTTGAAGTCCTTGTATCTTATGGTCACCAAGCTTAAGAGACACTGACCCAATAGACCAGTGTTTCTCAACCTTGACAATTTTAAGGCATGTGGACTTCAACTCCCAGAATTTCACAGCCAGCAATGCTGGCTGTGGAATTCTGGGAGTTGAAGTCCACATGCCTTAAAATTGTCAAGGTTGAGAAACACTGCAATAGACAGACCTGAAGCATTTTACAACACATAAGGTGGTTGACTCTGCTGGCTGGATGCCCAACAGACCGAGTCTCAGCCTTAAAGGTACTCCTGCAACAAGACAGACCTAGTTTTTTTTTCTCTTGTGTATCTACAGCAGAAACAATTGTGGCTTTAAAAGAGAATAATAGAATAGTAACTTTACTGTCACTTTAAATGTACATTAATAAATGAGATTTTTTTGCATACAGCTCTCAAAGAGTAACCATCTCCAATATACACTGCATAAACATGACAAAAACATAATTATGTATAAACCCACATACACACACACATCTGACCCACAGAAACAACAGTCTAGTTTGGATGTATATATATATATACAGGTAGTCCTTGACTTACAACAATTCATTTAGTGACGTTCAAAGCATTGAAAAAAGGGACTTCTGACCCTTTTTCACTCTTATGACCATTGCAGCATGGTGATCAAAATTCAGACCCTTGGCAACTGACACATATTCATGATGGTTGCAGTAACTTGAGGTCAGGTGATTCACCTTTTGTGACCTTCTGGCAAGCAAATTGGGGAAGCCAGACTCGCTTAGCGACCGTGTTACGAATTTAACAACTGCGGCGATTCCCTTAGCATCGGGGGCAAAAGAGGTCGTCAAATAGGGCAAAACTCAATTAACCAATGTCTTACTTAGCAACAGAACTTTTGGGCTCAAAAACTGCGGTCATAAGTCGAGAACTACCTGTACACGGGCGAGAAAAACGAATCGTGCAAGTTTACCAGGCGGATGGGACAAAGCTGTCATAGAATCTGGTAGTCCTCTAGGACAGGGGTGGGGAACCTTGGCCCTTGTATGACTTGTGGACTTCAAGTCCCAGAATTCCTGAGTCAGCACGGCTGGTTCAGGAATTCTGGGTGTTGAAGTCCACAAGTCACACAAGAGCCAAGGTTGCCCTACCCCTGCTCTAGTAGAAATACTTCGAAGCTTCCTCCCCCATCAGCAATGGCTGTGACAGCCTTTTCTCCCAACAGGCGCCCCAGAAAGCTCAGGATTGTGGGCCACACATCTGGAGGGCATCCATCCGGAAGCCAGAAGGGCGGGGAGAGAGGAAGACTCCGCCCCTTCCTCAGCCATCAAGGGCTACCTCCATCAGGGCCCCCTTTATTGACAGCCCCTCCCTTCCCGCCTTTCATGGTGGGGGGGGGGGGCGGCCTAATACATCCCCAACAAGGGAAGGCCAGAATCAGAAAACCATCCCAGCGGCTGCCCCGGGCCCTTCACCGATTGGCTAGGAAGCTTGGCACGACCCAATCAGAACCCTCCGCTCTCTTCCACAAGTATGCTTTATAAAAGACGACCAGCCTTCACACCCCCCCCCACCCCAACCACCATCCCGGTCCCCCTCCCCCATCAGAGAAATGGGTGGCCCAACCAATCGCGCGGCTGCTTGCATTGCCGCAGGAGGGGGAGCAGATAACACGGCCTCTCTCATTAGCCACCCCCTTCCTTTTGGTGTTCTTCAATGAAATCTCTCGCGACCAATCCGGCTCGGCTTCTGAGCGCTCCCATCCGGGTTTCTCAGATAAAAGACCGCCCCTGATTGGTCATCGTGCCGGGCACTGGGTTCTCGGGCCTGGACGTGTTCTTCCCCCCCGTTGGCTGTTTTTCCCTCAGCAACAGCTGAACGCCCGCCGAATCGGGCCGTACCTGAACGTCCTCGTTCCGCAGCTCATCGATCAACACAGCGATAGGATAAAGGGAATCATCTCCGTCGGCGGCCGCCATCTTAGCTCCCGGCTTCTCTTCTGAAGACTGCGCGGGGTTCTCACTGTCGCCTTGCAGGGGCGGGTGGGATGCCATTGGTTCCTCGGGGTGTCACTCTGTCGTATACGAGAAGCTGATTGGATTCTTTCAGACGCGTTCCCTCTTTCCGATTTTCCAATTTAGCATAGCTGTCGAGCTGTCATTGAGTTTCTTGTTCTTCATTGGACAGAACTAGGCCACCCACAAAGAGATTTGGGAAATTAGGTCGATTACGCCCGCCTCTTTTTCATCTCAATTGGTTAGATGGACTATATCCCCGCCTTTTTTCCGATTCATAATAGGAATCTATCCATTCTGTCATAAGGCTCACAAAGGACTAAGGAATAGTCCCGCCCCTGGAGTGTAATCTTAACTCCGTTTTCCGATAATGGAGAGGCGATTCGCCAGTGGCTTTGAGGGACAGCTCATAATAACCAATCCCAGAGTGGAAACAACTTCTGTTTCAGCAGAAGTAGAGGAGGGCGAGTGTATGACTGGGTTGCCAAAGCAACTTTGCCTCTGTTCTTGCCATTGTGGTGACGTCAGTAATTTATGACGACATAGATCTATGACCTCACCTCAGCGGGGGGGGGGCTTGATGCAAAGGCATTTTAAGTGCCCATTTGCCAATCTTATTTTCTTCTAAAATAAAATCGTTGTGGATTGTATGCATGTATGGCTGACTGTATGTGTATAGACACACACATAACTTCATATGCAACTAAGAACTTGCTGCACACATTAAAACTTCGTTGATTGTTAATGGAATTACATAGCTGGGAGTGTGTGTTAAATCTGGATTTCAACTTCTCCCTTCCTGAAGGAGTCCAGATTAAAGCTTTTTCTATCAACATTCTAACTTGACTGGCAAACATCCAGGGAACCCACTCCTCTGGAACGTTGATTAATCGCTCTTTTCTATCTTCCTACTAAATTAAATCCCATATCCATGTCCTGTATCTGGAATGTTAAGAGAACTGGTCTAACATTTGCTAGAAAATCATCACTTGTGATTTCAGTAAAAGCTTAAAGTTATCCATGTTGTGCTGTCAATGCATAAAGCAGCCCCTAACAAGCTTGTCCCGATGAAAGTCTTATCATCTGCTTCCCTTTTAGGACAGAATTTTTCCTGGACTGAATTGGCTCCAAAAAAACCCACACAGGATGTTGGATCTTTGTAAGGGGGGAAAGTGAATAGAATAGAATAATAGAATAACAAAGTTGGAAGGGACCTTGTAGGCCATCTAGTCCAGTCCAAGCAGGAGACGCTACACCAGTGATGGCGAACCTTTTAGAGACCGAGTGCCCAAACTGCAACCCAAAACCCACTTATGCATCGTCGGGTGCCGGGTGGGTGTGGCCCATTGGGTGGGTGTGGCCCATTGGGTGGGTGTGGCTGCGGTGGTAACAGCAGACTGGGTGGGACTAAAAAGTTTAATCAATCAATTCCAACTTTGCAAGATCTTTTTTTTCCCTGCAAGAAGTTGAAATTGACTGATTGAACCTTTTTTTTAGTACACGGCAGTGGAGGCCTAAAGCGAAAAGGTTTTATAAAAGCCAGTTGAACTGGGGTGACGGTGTGCATGCCCACAGAGAGGGCTCTGAGTGCCACCTCTGGCACCAGTACCATAGGTTTGCCACCACTGCGCTACACCATTTCTGACAAGTGGCTGCCCAGTCTCTTCTTGAAAACTTCCAGTGATGAAACTCCCACAACTTCTGAAGGCAAGCTGTTCCATTGGTTGGTTGTTCTCACTGTCAGAAAATTTCTCCTTATTTCTAGGTTGAATCTCTCCTTGATCAGTTTCCATCTGTTAATCCTTGTTTGGTCTTCAGGTGCATTGGAAAATAGGTTGTCCCCCTCCTCTCTGTGACAGCCCCTCAAATATTGGAAGACTGCTATCATGTCTCCCCTGGTCCGTCTCTTCACTAGACTAGCCATGCCCAGTTCCTGTAATCGTTCTTCATATGTTTTAGCCTCCAGTCCCCTAATCATCTTTGTTGCTCTTCTCTGCAGTTTTTCTAGAGTCTCAACATCTTTTTTATAGTGTGGAGACCAAAACTGGTTGCAGTATTCTAGGTGTGGTCTTACTAAGGTTTTATAGAGGTAGTAACCTCTCGTGATCTTGATTGAATCCCTCTATGGATCATGTCCCTCCAAGTACTGCCCAGCCCCTTCCTCTATTTTGAATCCCCTCTTCCCATTCCAACACACACTCCTAGGGTCTGTTTGTGTCCCACACCGTGCTTTTCCCACCCGGTAGTCAAGATAACAGATCTTAAATAGCAAGCATTTCCTTTCAAAGTTCCCTAGTCAAAGAACACAAAGTTTTGGCTGGTGTTCTATCCCAGCCTATTGCCGTCCTTGTTAAAGGCACAAGGACCAACCCCTGCTGATACAATAGGCTGGAAACGTTAAAACAAAACAAAATCCCTTTTATTTGGGTGACAATCCTGTCAATAAGTCCAAAACACAAACAGCAAACCTCAAGTTCAAAGGAAGGAAATAGTCCACAGGAACACGTTGCAAACAAGANTGACTCCTGCTCCTCACACAGCTGAGCTTCATCAGAAACACGACTGGAGGGGCCAGGCTCTTCATCAAGCCGTGAGTCTTGTAATTCATCAGAGCCTCCCTCTGACCCTGATGGCCCCTCAACAGCCTCCTCCACCTCCTCCTCAGATTCCTCAGACTCAGCTGTTGGGAACACAGGCTGGCACGGAATCACAACAGCTGGTCAAGTTGGACCTTCAGATGGAACTCGTCAACTCCTGCTTTACAGAGTGCTAAATCGAATTGCACGATCAAGGATTCTGAGGGTTCAGTCAGTTGCTGACCTTTTAAGATATCCTCCACCTACTTGTTCAAAGCTTTCTGGCTGCTCCAGAAGATACTAAGCTGTCGCAGCAAATGGGGGGAGAACAGGAGTTTTCTTTGAAAAGAGTTAGGGTCTTTGCAGGTCTGATGTTCAGAAAGTTCATAAATGATGCTGATTTGGTTCCTTCCTTCCTTCTGAACGAGTGAAAAAAAAACATGTCTCAAACATAATTAGATTGGATTGTGAAATAGGATTTAGAAGTCGCAATCCACAGACATTTCATCCCATTCCTCCTTTAAGACTTCATCTGCAAACTTCCCAGATCTTGATTTCCACTCTCTCGAACGGAAATGACATATCAGACAATTGTGTCCATGCGGTGTGCACTTGATATATTAATAAACCAGAACATTTAATCTTTTTTATTTTCCTATTTACAACTCTGGAGAGAGCTGTTACCTTGTGTACAATTCAACTTCCAACAAAACCCAGTTTTCTAGGATTCCTTTTTCTACACTGACAGATAGGTTACATGCAAAAAAGAAAAAAAAAAGAAAAAAGGAAGGGTTTCTTCGAATACCATTTTTATTGTATGTGTTTTGTAGGCTTCTAACCCGATTTTAATCATGTTATTCTCCGGGCAGCTTATAACTGCCAGGTAATATGGGTAGTCCTCCACTTAGGACCATAATATGGATCAGAATCTCTGTTGCTAAGCAAGGCAGTTGTTGAGTGAGTGGCACCTAAATTTGCGACCTTTTTTTGCCACAGCTGAATGAATCATTAGGTCAGGGATAGGCAACGTTGGCTCTTTTATGTCTCGTGGACTTCAACTCCCAGAATTCCTGAGTCAGCCATGCTGAGGGGAAAGGGAGAGGTTTCCATGCTGAGCCATGCTGGCTCAGGAATTCTGGGAATTGAAGTCCACGAGTCATAAAAGAGCCAAGGTTGCTTACCCCTGCACTAGGTTGTTAATAAATCCAGCTTCACCCACTGACTTTGCTTGTCCAAGGCTGGCTGGGAAGGTCACAAATGGTGCTCACACAACCCCAGGACTCTGCAAGCATCATAAATGCTTGTTGGTTGCCAAGTGCCTGAATTTTGATCACGTGACCATGGGAATCCTGAAACAGTCGTAAAAGTGAGGACCAGTCGTAAGTCACTTTTTTCAGTGCTGTTGTAACTCAGACAGTTGTTAAATGAACGGTTGTAAATCAAGGATTGCCTGCAATATGAGAAATTACTTCACAAACACACACATTTCCAATGGATGACTTTAGAAGAGCCATCCTCTCAAAGGCCAACGCTTGCAAAACTGTGACCTGGGGAAATAAAAATGGATTTTCCCAAATGTACCACATAGACTCTCAAGAGGAAGACAAACTATAGAATGCAGTCAATGCAAATGTGTGGTACTGCTGGATTCTTCTTCCTTTTTTGCAAAAGTTTTCCCACAAAAAAGGAGAACTTCACCCTTTCTCAAGGGCAAAACTGAAGCGCCATGATAGAAAAGCCTCATGGGATTTAAAGGAAATGCTGGAGAACCATATCGCCCCTTGGGCACACCGTGTCAGAGTAAGGGCAAGAACGGCACATTCCACCCTTGCAATTTTCTCCAACACGCTCTTTTTCTTTGATGAAATATTTAGAAACAAATCCTCTTTCATTCCACGGAGCAAAAATTTGGTGGGAGGAAGAAAAATGCAAGAAAAACTCTCTACTGAGCTTCGGCAGTGAGTGTCTCAGAATTGATGGGAGAAAGTAGAATATGTCTAACTTTTGACGCCAACCTAAAAGGCAAACTATCTTTGGAGCAAACCATGTTTTCTGGCATACTTTGAGGGTGAAAGGAAGAACGTCACTGCAGCTGATTCTTCTCTGGGCAATTAATACGGCCATGTTAATAAATTGATATGGCTCCAAGAAGACAGGCCTTCTCTATGATGGGTCCCTCCCTGTGGAACATCATCCCTGCTGAAATAAGATTAGCCTCCACTTTGACACTCGTTTGCAAAAGGCCCTGAAATCATGGTTTTGCCAACAGGTCTGAGGATTTCAAGGTGATCTGGAGCCCATTAAGTGGTTGGTTTGATTGTTATCAGAGAGGGATGGGCATTCATTGGCTTTTGTGTTGCACTTTTATTTCTGTAAGCTGCCCGGAGTCTCTGTGAGTCAGTTGCAGCCACATACATTTTCTTAATAAATAAATGTCAGTCCCCACCTTGCCATGATGCTTTATTCTGGGATGGAATGGCATGTCCTCCTGGTTCAAGACAAATCTATAGATAGATAGATAGATAGATAGATGATAGATAGATAGATAGATAGATAGATAGATAGATAGATAGATAGATAGATAGATAGATAGATACTGGTAGACCGACATAGATGATAAATAGACATAGACAGACAGACACAGATAGGCAGACATAGATGATAGATAGATGATACAAATAAGTGATAGATAGATAGATAGATGGATAGATAGACAGACAGACAGACAGATAGACAGACAGACAGGCAGGCAGGCAGGCAGGCAGGCAGGCAGGCAGGCAGGCAGGCAGACAGACAGGCAGGCAGGTAGGTAGGTAGGTAGATAGATACTGGTAGACTGACATAGATGATAAATAGACATAGACAGACAGACATAGATAGGCAGACATAGATGATAGTTAGATGATACAAATAGATAGATAGATAGACAGACAGACAGACAGACCAGTAGATGATAGATAGATAGATAGATAGATAGATAGATAGATAGATAGATAGATAGATAGATAGATAGATAGGCAGGCAGGCAGGCAGGCAGGCAGGCAGGCAGGCAGGCAGGCAGGCAGGCAGGCAGGCAGACAATTTGTCTCTGGTGCATAAGCTCTCAGTGTACATACAAACAACAAAGTGGTAAGCTTAGATCAGTAGTGGCGAACCTATGGCACAGGTGCCAGAGGCGGCACTCAGAGCCCTCTCTGTGGGCACGCGCGCCATCGCCCCAGTCCTAGGCCTTCAGCTGGGTTTTATAAAACCTTTTTGCTTTAGGCCTCCGCCGCCGTGTGCAAAAAAAAAAAAAAAAAGGTTCAATCAGCAATTTCAACTTCTTGCGGGAAAAAAAAAAGATCTTGCAAAGTTGGAATTAATTGATTGAACTTTTTAGTCCCACCCAGTCTGCCGTTACCACCGCAGCCACGCCCACCCAATGGGCCACGCCCACCCAATGGGCCACACCCATCCGGCACCCGACGATGCATAAGTGGGTTTTGGGTTGCAGTTTGGGCACTCAGTCTCTAAAAGGTTCGCCATCACTGACTTAGATCATAGATTGCAATCATTAATCATAAGATACAACAAGTGTATGTAGGTATGGAGAGCAGAAGGGGAACAAATGTTTCCCTTCTGCTCTCCAGACCTCGAGCTGCTGAGTATCTAAATATCAGACTTGCATTTCAAACATGAATTGACCCAACCATCTCAACCATCATTCGACCTCAAAGACTTTGTGTCCCACCTGACAGACATTGTCTCTCTCCTCACATGGACGGAGAACATCTATGGAGATTCTCAGTCATCCAGGTCCTAGTTGTCCCAAAGATGCTTTTTCACAATGCATCACGAGTTGCCTCATGAAAAAGCATCTTTGGGACATGAAGGAAGAACATTTTTGAGCAGCTGTGAGTAGCCCCATGCATAGACTGCTTTTGGTTTTTAGCATCACTGCACTTAGCTCTTACTAGGAAGCCCCATCTTCTTAAATATTTTGAGGAACTAAGAATTCAGTCTGCTGTAGCGCAAGTTCCACTTTCTTCTGTCTTATTCTCCTGGGGTGAAAAAAGCCCACACCTCATGCCAGTTATTTCTTACCCGTGTTATGAGAAAGAGAAAAATCTGTGCCTAGTCGACCATTTTATGTTCTGTCTGCTAACTTAGCGCAAAGAGCATCTCCAAGAGGAACTGAACAAATGGAATTTCTCAAAATAGAGTTACTGTCTGTGTCCCCTGTCTGGAAACCCCCTGCATGCATATTGAATAGCTAACCAATTCCCCTGTAGCGGAAACACTCTGCAATATAAGGCTTTGTCTCCCTTTGTGTCACAGTTCCTGAGCCCTGGTGGGCAGAAAATGCTTACTTAACTGAATTTTGTGAGCTTGGATAATTGGCGCAACTTGAAGTAGACTCACTTGTACGTTCAGGTAGCTCCATGGCGAATGTGCATGAATCTTCTGGCAGTGTATGATTCCCATGGAACGGATGTAGTTATCAAAATTAATCCTGAGAACTTTGTTCCTGTCTTTAGACTCAGTGTTCATACCTGTAACACAGGGGTGTCAAACTCAATCGTTTGCGTCAAGGGTGCCTGTGGGGGCCTGGGCAGGAGTGGGACAGATCTGAGGGTCTCTGGCAGAAGGGGGTGGGACCGGGGCAAGCGCCAAGACATGGTCCATTTCTTCATTCCTCACAAAGGGTGACACCTCCCCAGCATGCACTCAGGGGATGGGGCCGACACAGCAGGGGCTGGTTCCTCGCTGTTTCCAGATGACCTTGTGGAGCTAAGACTGAATGCGTTTCAGCATAGATGGCCACCACAAAATTGTACATTGGCTCCCGGCTGGCCTGGGCCAGGGCCAAGGCAGCGGGGGCCGTTCCCTCACTGTTTCCAGGATGACTTCGCGGGCCACATGAAACCACTTCGCGGGCCGCATCTGGCCCCCGGGCCTTGTGTTTGACATGTCTGCTGTAACAAGTCAATAAATTTAACAGAATAACCAGAGTTGGATGGAATCCTGGGGGGGTCTTCTAATCCAACCCCCTGCTCAAGCAGGAAACCCTATACCATTTCAGACAAATGGTTGTCCAATCTCTTCTTAAAAACCTCCAGTGTTGGAGCACCCACAACCTCTGGAGGCAAGTCGTTCCATTGATTAATTGTTGTGTCAGGAAATTTCTCCTTAGTTCTAAGTTGCTTCTCTCTTTGATTAGTTTCCATCCAAGATTCTCATGGTTGGGTCGTACAATAGGTTAAGCTGGTTAATTTTAGCATTGTTTCATTTTTCTTTGGGGCCTCAGTGTTCTGTGAATGCAAACCATATGGTTAAGTTTATGATTCAAGAGAAGTTCCAGGGAAGATCTATTCAGTAACCCAAGAAAAGTAGCCCATTTTGCCAACCTAGCTACTTAATAGACGCAGGGCCATCTGAGCACACCAATAACATTTTTTTCATTTGCATAATATCCAGGGTGAAATAATTTTGTTGCAAAAAGGCCTCCGTTGTCTAGTGACTAAATAGAAGGGTGGAGCTTTTCTTGGGAAAGAGGTCAAAGGAAATTTGCAAGAAGCTTGCAATATTTGCATTATTTGAAGGTTTGTAGATTGTGCCTCAATGGTTTTGTGTCTTAATATTCATCAGGTGTCTCCAAAATCTACCGTTTATTCATAAGGCTACAGTGAACTATCTCATTACTTTGCACACTTCCAATGGGTGGAAAATGAACTTATGACATGCATCTTAGTTACTCTTCTGCTCCTATTTTCAACCCAGAATGACCTGTATCTAGACAAGCAATCTGTTCAGGCGTGCATTATGAATCAAAGGTTAAGGCAAAATTTGTATCTCTTAGTCAGAATTTTCCACCCATATCCAGCTTCATTTAATGCCTCCAGCATTCTCCAGCAGACCAATCCAATAGTTATATGTTAAAGGTCCATCCATCACGTTTGAATTCTCTCCTGTCTGCTTTGTCTCATGATTTTTTGGCTTCTGAATGTTTCTCAGTAGGCTGCTCATCAAAATGATTATTTTCCTCAAGATCTGAAGCAGCCTGTCTCTCATTTTCCTGTTGTGAAAAATGGATAAAAAGAAAAATTGGGGAAAAAAAATTCTAGTGGTTAAGGCATCAGGCTAGAAGCCGGGATATGGCGAGTTCTAGTCCCATTTTAAGCATGAAAGCCTGCCGGTAACTTTTGGCCAATCACCAGGAGACTGTGAGTTCTAGTTCTGCCTTAGATTATGAAAGCCTGCTGGGTGATTTTGGGTCAATCACCAGGAGACTGTGAGTTCTAGTCCAGCCTTAGACCATGAAAGCCTGCTGGGTGATCTTGGGTCAATCACCAGGAGACTGTGAGTTCTAGTCCCGCTTTGGGCATGAAAATCAGCTGCGTGAACTTGGACCAGTCACTCTCTCTCAGCCCAACCTTCACAGAATTGTTCTTGTGGGGAAAATAGGAGGAGGGAGGAATATTGTGGGTGATCACCACCTTGAGTTAGTTATTTATAAAACAATAATAAAGGCAGGGTATAAATAAATAAATAAATAAAATAAAAATAAAAAGTTGCCACTGGAATTCTGTCCCACCTCCCAAATGACCCTTGAAGGCATGTTGTAATTGAGGAAAATACCATGTCACTCCCCTTGCACCCACAACTTTCACACGCTTCTGCTTTTCTTTTAATATCAGAAAACGTCTCCCTGCAGTCCTCTGTCTCACAGCAGAATCAGTAAGCACTGCTCCCGGTGTGAAGAGAAAGTAGATTATTTAGCCATAATAACAGAGAAAAGATCTCACCGCAGAAGGAAAGAAATCTGGAACAAGGAACCAAGGTATAGTTTTGCGGTGAGTTTAAGGAACTTTTCTGAGGAAAGTCGTGGTGTATTTTCATTCGAATGCTGATCCTCTGGATAACTCCTGACTCAGGATAATTTAGAACATAAATCCTGATACTGGTTTGAGATAAAATGTGTGTGTGTGTGTGTGTGTGTGTGTGTGTCTGCACACACACATGGAAGCTTTTGAGTCATTGTTGTCTCCTGGTGACTGTCTGCACTAGTCCCTGTAGTTTTCTTGACAAGATTTTTCAGAAGTGGTTTGTCTTCTCCGTTTCCCCAAAATGGAGAGAAAACGATTAGCAGGAATAGAACTGATAGTCTTCCAATTTCTGGCCTCATGTCTTAAAACCATTACACCAAACTGTCTCTCAAAACTGGGTTTAAAATGCTTTCTTTTGTAAACCAGAACTCAATCTGGAAGTTAACTCCACTTTGAAATAGAAGTCAGGATTGCGGGAACCATAGGGCCACGCATAAAAATAAGATGGCTGTGGAAATTCTTCTCATTCCTCTAATGTGTTCCTTCACAGTGCAAAAAGTCTTTGAATCTTTGACGTTGTTCTAAGGATGCTTTCAATGTTTATATATATATTTCAAAGAGTTATTTTGCTGGTGTTTGCTGTTTCAAGGCTAAAGAGCATGCAGATGTTGCTGCATTCAACTATCTGTGTCTCCATTCCGGAATTTTTTTTCTGGCTAGTTTGGTTTCCTAATCAGGAAACAGTCCATGGAGAAATTCCTTCTTCCTTGGGGACTAAATCAAAATGCAGGGAGGCTGAAGCCTAGCTACAAAATGAAAGAACATTCATACAGCAGTCTGTCACCTCATAACTGAGATAAGGGCACAAGAAATCCATGGGAAGAATTGCTTCTTCCTTTAAGACATGCCAACGTTAGTTCTCCCATGTTAAAAGGGAAAGCAACCAGACATCAACACAATCCATTGCTAACATGAGGGACAGAGGGTAACTAGGCCTTATACCCAAAAGGGAGTCTGTCTAAGCTACTACAGAGCTCAATCTGGAGAAAGAGGCACAGAAATATGATTACTATACCCCCACTTAGATAGAGGACTTGCTTTTGATACCCAGCAGTTCTAGAATTCTTTCTTAATGGCTTCCTACTTTTTCTGTAGTTACTTATCGGGAGTTCATAGATTCTGTTGTTCTCTAACAACTTTGGGAATTCTCTGATGCACAGTAGATAGTCATGAAGCTTCAGATCATACACCTCTGTCTTAGATTTAGTGGGAAGGTCAAGAGACATCAGATCTGAAAGCTCTTGAAGGCTGCTTGACCTTCAAAGAAAGATTCTTTCAGAGTTTCCTTTCCTATTGCAAAAGGCTAGGATAAAGTTACAGAAGTCAGAGCAACTGGATTGGTTTCCTTTTTAATATTCAACTTGTTTCCCAAGTTCTTAGTCTATTCCTCATGGCTACTGTGTGAACAAGTAAGTTGTCCTACCTTACTACACAGGAAAATCAGTGACGGTACTAAGAATGCGAATCTCTCTCCAGTTCTAAGTGTACCATCACATGTTCCCTGGAAAAAAGACTATACAATGAGAAACAGGATACTCACATATCTTTCAGCTACCCTACATGTCAATGTCAGTGGGAGATGGTGCACCTTACCTACTAGAAGTTCACCCAAACGTGTTCCTTTGAGCAAACACAGAACACAGAAAATGTGGAACAGTAGTTCCTTTTTCATAAAATCAGAAGAGATTGTTGCAAAAACAGCCAGATATATTTTCACTGCAGCACTATATAACTAATTCAGGAAGTAAGTTGACAGTTTTTTGTTGAAGCAAACCAACCAAACCAACTCTATGCTTCCTCTCTGGGGCCGTTGTTTTGAAGAGTATCAGAATCTGGCTAAGAGGAAGTGGGAAGCCATACAGAAGCTGCACTTTCTATTTTACTTTTCCTCATAAAATTTTTTTCCCCTGATCCTAAACTACTTTAATTACTTTAAAGTAATTAATCAATCCAAAGATGGAAAAACAACTTCAATGCGTTATTATACACATAATAACTGCAGCACGCATTGCATATGCGCAATGCTGGAAAAGGGAAAATATACCAACAAATGTAACGATTATTTACAAGATACTAGAATGTGCTGAGATGTACAAACTTACTCTGGAAATAAAAGACAAGGAAGTTACAGAATTTTATGAGATATGGGACAGGTATTACAATTGGTTAGAATTGAGGAATAAAAAAGTATGAGAAATAATGTAAATAAGTGTAAATAAATGTAAGAGATATAGGACATAGTATTGTTAAGAAAAAAGAAAAATGTACTTTGTATTTTGTTTTTTGTAAAGAGAAAAAGAAAAAATAAAATTTAAAAACAAACAAACAAACAAATAATAATTTCGCTTCCCATAAAAATACTTTCCCCTTTCCTAACTGACTAAATTATTGTAAGATCTTTTCTTAAGGTTTTTTTTTAAAAAAAGAAAAGAACATATTATCTCTTCTGTAGACCAGAGACCAAGCATGCCAAAATACTATGCAAAACAGATTTGGATGCTGTTAAAAGACAAATATGTCAAATAATAATATGTTCAAGGTTAATAATTGTGACTATTGGGATTGTTCAGCCTGGAATCAGACAGAGGATCACTCGTTAACTCATCCATCTTACTTCCAAAATATTTAATCACTGGAGGTTTTTAAGAAAAGACTGGACAGCCATCTGTCTGAAATGGTATAGGGCAGTGGTGGCGAACCTATGGCACGGGTGCCAGAGGCGGCACTCAGAGCCCTCTCTGTGGGCACGCGCGCCGTCGCCCCAGTCCTAGGCCTTCAGCTGGGTTTTATAAAACCTTTTCGCTTTAGGTCTCCGCCGCCGTGTGCAAAAAAAAAAAGGTTCAATCAATCAATTTCAACTTCTCGCGGGGAAAAAAAAGATCTTGCAAAGTTGTAATTGATTGATTGAAGTTTTTAATCCCACCTAATCTGCCGTTACCACCGCAGCCATGCCCACCCAATTGGCCATGCCCACCCAATTGGCCACACCCACCCAATGGGCCACACCCACTCAGCACTCGACGATGCATAAGTGGGTTTTGGGTTGCAGTTTGGGCACTCGGTCTCTAAAAGGTTCGCCATCACTGGTATAGGGTCTCCTGCTTGAGCAGGGGGTTGGACTAGATGACCTGCAAGGTCCCTTCTGGCTCCATTCTGATTGATTGATTTCAGGTGAATTCTGTTAACGTAGCCCTGCATTGGTAACCCATTCAAGTGATAAGGTGGTCTCCTTAAGATAATTGAACAAGTTATTCCTAGATACTCCAAGCCCTTTGGATGCACTTATTCTTTGTGGTGTCCAGGTATCTCTATGACCGTTGCCAACATATTTATTTTGCTTCTTGTAAGCACACCAGATCACACGGCTTCTCTTCCTACTACAGAGCTCATCCTTTCACATAAATATCAAGGTAAAACAAGATGCCAGCCAACGAGAGTGCTTGGTGGATAAGGCTTCTTCCTTGTAAGAAAAAGAAACCATTTCTGTCTTTGGCGATGATCTTGGCCATTCTATGTAAAGGTAGGTGCAATGTACTAAAATAAGAAAAATACGGAATTAAAAATTATTGTCCGGTTGACATTAGGGATGATAGGGTTCAACATATCCGGTGGACAGAAAGTTGTTCTACTTTGATTTTCAGTTTCCTTTGGAGCAGTGGTTGCCACTCTCTTCTCATACTGGAGACTGATGACATTTCTAGGAAATTTGGTTTATTTACAAAACAACTTGCTTATTTTGAGAAGCTAAGAAAAATCAGCTTTGGTTTAGACCACGGGTAGGCAACCTTGGCTCTTTTATGACTTGTGGACTTCAATACCCAGAATTCCTGAACCAGCCATGCTGATTCAGGAATTCTGGGAGTTGAAGTCCTCAAGTCATAAAAGAGCCAAGGTTGCCTGCCCCTGGTTTAGACTTTGATGAGAGACCTCCAGAGAATACTAGGGCTATAAGGCAGAATGAGACACTAGCAATATTGTAGACAGAACCCCAACTGTGTAACCAAGGCACAGATACAGAAGATTGTATGGGTTATTCCCAGACAGGGAGATCTATAAATAAAGATAGTGAGAGATCTAGAGAATTCTTAGATAAATTTCCAACAGTTGGATGTTGATTGTATTGGTGGCACAGTGGTTAGGATGCAGTACAGCAGCTATTTCTGCTGACTGCCGGTTGCCAGCAGTTCAATCCTCACTGGCTCAAGGTTGACTCAGCCTTCCATCCTTTGGAGGTGGATAAAATGAGGACCCAGATTGCTGGGGGTAAGAGGCTGACTCTGTAAACTGCTTAGAGAGGGCTGTAAAGCACTGTGAAGTGGTATATAAGTCTAAGTGTCAAACCTGCATGAAACCTGACTGAAGCCATCTTGCTCGTTTTCAGTTGCCACACAATTGGGGGGAGGAAGAATGAGACGTTTTATGCTAGTCTCAACAATTCTCTGTTCTGTGGGAACCAAGGTCATTTCTGTTCCCTCAACTTGGGGGGCTGAGCCTAATGTCAGAAAGCCCGCCAAACTAGTCTATTGGGAAACGCAGTTGATTGCAAAGGTTTTGGGGTGGGAATTTTAACTTTGTATTACTGTTTCTTTTGGAGGGGACTTTAGTCTTGGTTTCACTTTTGACCGTGCCGATACTTTGTAACCAATAAACATGTTCTTAGAGGAAAACTTGTCTAAGAGTTCTGCTTTAATTGGTCTCATCTATCGGAACCATGACACTAAGTGTTATTGCTATTGCTATTTTGGCTGCAGTCTTTACACATCTCTTGATTCAGTCTATCCCTTCCAACTGAGATGGTTCAACCATTTGGCAAAGTTCACTTTTTGTCCTATAAGGAACTGTCCAATTATTTTTTTTCCCTTGCATCTTGTTAAACAACAGAGAATCATTTCATTGTAGAGTTCCATCTATTATTTATTGTCTTGGACACTATGTCTGTAGTGGACATATCACTCTAAACCCAGCTTAATAATAGACAATTGCTGTGTTTTTGTTATATACAATTCCCAAACACCAACACTACACCATGGTTCAGCACAACGTTCTTGTTCACCAATATAGCCAAATAATGCCACAACATAGAGGACCCTTAGCTGCTGAATGCCGTCTTCTCTTTCAATCTCTTAAGCCCACTGTTGTGGTGGAGAAGGTGCACAGTGGACACATGGCCTCACGTTTTGGGGGGTTTGACAACTTGTGATGCTCTCCACTTTATGAGTTATTCCTGCAAGAAACCTCAAGAGGTTTTCCAGTGTTTTCATTTAGGCTTTGTCTGTATCCAAACTAATTTTGTTTTGTTTTTCTTGGATCAGGAATCAGAAGTCAAGGAGCAAAGAATTATAGTATCACTGTGCCTTCTTCTGTCTTCGTGCAACATGGTCTCGCTGTTCATATTCCGTGCCAGTTCACTTATAAAAGGGAACACCTGCGGCAAGGCAGTATATCTGCTTACTGGATTAAATCTCAGTCACAATTAGCCCCCTGTTCTCCATCGGTTTATCAAACCTGCAGGCCTGTAGCCACCAATGACGAAAAGCAAACAGTCAAACATTCGGCCAAGGATCGCTTCTATTTATTAGGAGATTCAATTAAAGGAAATTGCTCACTTGTCATCACGGAGGCTCAAATAGAAGATGAAGGACAATACTACTTGAGAATTGAGGGAACAGGTGATTTAAAATTTTCTTTTGTCCCAAACATGGGACATACTTCACCTTATGTTTGGGTGATAGGTAAGTAGTTTTCTATTGTTGGATGACTTATTCATTTTGTTGCGTTTGTCTCTTTTCTATTATAAAGAGATCAGAAAAGATCTACCAGTAGGAGATTAGCTATTAGGAGATATCTATGCTTTGGGTAAAAAAAACCCAAGCAAGATAGCAACTGTGACTGTGTGACTGAAGCCTTGTTTCATTACATGTGCATTACATGTTATAAAAAATTGAGCCTTCAGTCACTTCCAGTGCCCGCCATTTTGCCTTTTTTGACTTTCTTCCTCTATCCCTCCACTCCTTTGGAGGCCTGCAACTACAGTGATGAGCAAAGAATTGCCTCCTCTCCTTCCAGTATCTTCCAATGTTGACTCAGCAAAGGAAATAAATTAGAATATATCCTGCCAATATTAAGTACCAAAATGCAATCTGTTGTTGAGGTCCCCTTTGATGCTTTAAAGCAGGGGTCTCCAACCTTGGCAACTTTAAGACCTGTGGACTTCAACTCCCAGAATTCCCCAGCCAACATAGCATAGCTAGCTAGGGAATTCTGGGAGTTGAAATCCACAGTTCTTAAAGTTGCCAAGGTTGGAGGCCCTTGCTTTAAAGGAGAGATATGTTACTTGATGCCTTCCAGATATTCTGGATTACGGCCCCTTTCACATGTGTTGACCGGGAATTGTGGAACTTGTAGTTCACAATATTTGAAGGACATCAGGATGCCAAGCAGTCAAAACAACAAATTGGTCACTGCTTCTTAGCACAGAAAAGACGGAGTGCTAGTGATATCACTATGAAGGAAGAGAAGGCAAGCCAAGTGAAGGAAGAATTAAAGTAGATCACTTTGGATAGGACCCCCAAATATAAGAAGTATCTGAGAAATTGCTCAAACAGTATTCAATGGTGCAAAAAAGTACATGGGAAAACAGAAAAACCAAGTAGGAAAACAACAACAACAACAACACAAATCTCTTTCCTACGTACTCTGATTCTTACAGAATTGAACCTATTAGGAATAGCACTTAGACTTATATACCGCTTCACGGTGCTTTATAGCTCCTTCTAAGCGATTTGCCCCCAAAAATCTGAGTCCACAGAAGAATGGAAGGCTGAGAACCTTGAGCCAGTGAGGTTCGAACTGCGGACAGTGGGCAGAGTTAGCCTGCAATACTGCATTATAACCACTGCGCCACAACGGCTCTCTTGTTCTACATAAGATAGTAAGTCTTTAGGAAGAAATTGGACAGTGTGAATGTTCCAGCCAGGATCTTTAAAATCCCTGTGAAAGAGATGTTACCTTTGATTTTAAGGACAGCATTCTTTACTTTGCCCATAGCACCATGCTAACCTTAACTGATCTCAGAAAGCTAAGGGTTGAAGCTGTTTGGCGCTAAACTAAGAGACCAGTAAAAAATCCCAGGGCTTAGATTAGAAAGTTGACAAAACATTCATGAAGGTTGCAGTGGCAAAACCTCTTCTATATCATTGCCTAGAAAACCACATGCATATTTCTGTGATGTCATGAGGAGTTGAGCTTGACTTATCTCAGAGTACTAGTGGACAATCACTTAAATATGAGCCAGCAGTGTGTTGCAGCTGCCAAAAAAGCCAACACAGTGTTACGCTGCATTAACAGAGGGACAGAATCAAGATCATGTGAAATGCCTTGGTAAGGCCACACTTGGAATACTGCATCCAGTTTTGGTCACTACGATGTAAAAAAGATGCTGAGACTCTAGAAAGAGTACAGAGAAGAGCAACAAAGATGATTAGGGGACTGGAGGCTAAAACATATAAGGAACGGTTGCTGGAATTGGGTATGTCTAGTTTAATGAAGAGAAGGACAAGGGGGGGGGACATGATAGCAGTGTCCCAATATCTCAGGGGCTGCCACAAAGAAGAGGGAGTCAAGCTTTTTTCCAAAAGTGCCTGAAGGCAGGACAAGAAGCAACAGATGGAAACTAATCAAGGAGAGAAGCAACCTAGAACTAAGGAGAAACTTTCTGACAGTTAGAACAATTAACCAGTGGAACAACCTGCCTCCAGAAGCGGTGAATGCTCCAACACTGGAAGTTTTTAAGAAAAGACTGGACAGCCATTTGTCTGAAATGGTGTAGGGTTTCCTGCCTGAGCAAGGGGTTGGACTCGATGACCTCCAAGGTCCCTTCCAACTTTATATTATTATTATTATTATTATTATTATTATTATTATTATTATTATTATTATTATTATTATTATTGCTACTACTACTACTACTACTACTACTACTACTACTACTACTACTACTACTATTATTTATTCTAACCTCCTACTCTAAAGTGCAGCCACCAAGGTTGATTACATTGTAATCTCATATTTATCCTTGCAGTAGTCAAAGCTTTGTGTTTTTCTGTCTGTCTTCCGTGAGTTTGCTGACCCTGTGTGCCTTCTTGGCAAGGAACTCCCACTTTTCCTCTTCCTGTGTTTCAGAACCACCCCAGAAAATCAATATCACAGTAAACACGATGGACTCAGGACACCATGGTAAGATTTCAAATTGTGGACGTTTTTGCAGATCCCTTCAAACCCAGTACCAGAATGCTGATTCTCTGCTCCCCAAATGTTCTTGCAAGCTTGAAAAGCTCTCCCCGTTTCATCTGATCATTCCTTAAGCAACATCTCTTTCCCCCCCCCCCCATCTTACAAGGTCAAGTCCATTTGCATTATATATTTCACGAATGAAACCAACCAACAAAATATTCAGTTATCTTGGTTTTCTGAAATGATGCCAAATCTGTAGAGGCGGCTTCCAATGTGCGGTTTTGGGTAGTTCCCTGTTTGACGCTCCTAAATGCTTGCAGGCTCATCAGAATGGCAAAGGAAAGAGGGATCGAACCGTGTGATGGCCCAGGAAGGAAGCACTGTCACCCTATTCTGTACTGCTGATGGTAGACCAGCTCCCACCCTATCCTGGATGAAGGGGAACGAGAAAATTGGTCAAGCCAAGGATCCCCTTCAACTGAGTGGTCAAGCCAAGGATCACCTTCAACTGAGTGAAATTGGACCAGAGGATGCTGGAAAATATCAGTGCCTGGCAAATAATGAGTACGGATCAGTCCAGACGATGATTGAAGTGATTGTCCAGTGTAAGCTTTACTTGTTGTTGGGTTATATAGCTGAAAACACTCATCCACTGTAGCTTGACTTACAGCAGGAGTCCTCAACCTTGGCCACTTTAAGACTTGTGGACTTCAACTCCCAGAATTCCTCAGCCAGCTTTGCTGGCTGAGGAATTCTGGGAGTTGAAGTCCACAAGTCTTAAAGTGGCCAAGGTTGAGGACCCCTGACTTACATCGATCCAGCAAACCTCCTCCCACTTCATCTGCTGCAGCAGAACATGGTCAATACATCCTTACCCAGGTGAATCTTCCATTAATGGGGGTCTCCACAAGTGAGTGTCGGTGTGGGTGCCTGTTAACCATCTAGGTGGCATATCAGAAGGTCTTCTTCTTTTAAATAGGCTTTTATTCAAAGATTTTAGCTCATAAGAAAGAAAAAAAATAGAGTAAATGTGAAAATGTGACCCATGGCGTGCATCCAGGTTACTTAAGTGATCGTCTCATCTCACTGGGATTGGCTGCTCCACCAGTGCTGGCAGAGGAGGCATGTTGCTGGCCCCATCAGCCAGGGTATTCTGACTGGTGTGGTCCAGAAGAGCTGTTTCTGCCATGGCGCTTGCATCCTGGAACATCTTGACCCCCGGAATGAGGTCTGCTCTAATCTTTTTTTTTTTTTGTATAGATTTTATTAGTTTTTATGAGGAATAAGGAATTTAGGAATAAGATGGGGTTGGGGTTGGGGTTGGGATTTAGGTTAGGGTTAGGATTAAGATTAGAGTTGAGATTAAGGTTTTTCCAAGTAACATTCTCAATATTTAGCCAACAGCATAATGTCTGGGTTCATGTATTTAACAAACAATGATAGAAAATAGTTAATTATAATAAACAATACTAACCACTCAACAATGGCTTTCAACAATGGAAGCTTTTGCTTACCCAAATTGAATTAACTACGATAAAGTTGGGACTTATAAAGATATTTCGGACAATGAAGGAAAATTGAAAGACAGACAAGATCTACCAGAACAAGGTATTGATCTAGCCGGGTGGCCATATCTGCAAATCCAAACGAGATAGGAAAAAGATGTTAAAACAATGGGATTTTATAAAGAACAGATAGAATTTGATCAGATACTGCTAAAAACAGATGAAAGGTTGATTAAGAAACTCTATAGATTTCTGTTAAACTTAAAGATGGAGGAAGAACAAGTAAAAGAAACAATGATAACATGGGCAAAGAACTTTGGATATAATATAGAATTAGAAGGTCTGCTCTAATTTTACTGACCTTCTGCAAGAGCCTACAGATCTGTCTCTGACCGCTGGCCTGGAGCTCCAAAGGAGGATCTTCATGTGGGCTGGTTGATAGATTAACATCAGACCCTTTCTGTTTATCCTACTCCCTCCCTACCCATCTTTTAGCTATTTATTTTGTACTAGCTGTACCCGGCCACGCGTTGCTGTGGCTCAGTCTGGTTAAATGGAAAAGAAAGAAAAGAGAAAGCGCACGTTTGTAATATGTTTAATTTCACAATGCTTGTGGGTATACAATATTTTTGTTGTTCTATTGTCTGTGCAGATATAGAGATTGTCTCGTAGCGTTTGTTGCTTTTACATCCAACAGTTGGCGCTGTTTTTCAAAAAAAGCATGTTTTACCTGTCACAGGTGTAACATCTATATAATAGTAGGTATATAAAAACACGCGTGTATTCGAATGCAACGTTGTGTCAAAATTTCAAAGCAATCGGTGAAGAACTTTCGGAGATTTAAGATTTTGAACAAACGAACATTTACATTTTTATTTATATAGATTTTTTATACTTTAGTAGTATTTCATTTATATAGTTTTATTATTTTTTTTTAATATTGTAAGCTGCCCAGAGTTACCCTGTGGTGAGATGAGTGACCAATAAATTTGAAAAAGAAAAGAAAAGAAAAAGGAAGAATAGTAGGTAGAGAGAGAAAAAAAATAAAAGAATAGAAAACATGTACATTGCCAAGCGCCGGGGAGTCAGGAGATTCTGGCAGTTCAAATGAGTATAAAGATTTATGGCAAGCTTAAGCTCTCTACAAGAATCTGAGCTACTAACGGTCAAGGGAAATGAGCGGGAGATAAGAAAAGCATTCAAGATGGGCTGGATTTAGATCTCTTGTGAGCATGCAAGGACTCATGACTGATAACATGTTTGACCCCTCCCTTGGGCTCAGCCTGGTCCTCTCCTACAGACATGTATGCATGCATACTTTTTGCATAAGAAAGAAAATAATTTTGTGACTTATGGTTTGGATTTGAAAAAACGGGTTATAGAAAAAAGGGAATTGAGAGAGAGGTTTGATTAGAAGTGTATGTATAACTGCTAAGAGGAAGATTGGAAGCTACTTCATTATAAATAGCAGAAGGTCTTCTTGTGGTCCCTTGAAGAAGATCCCTTGTGGTACCAAATGAATAGTACCATATCTCTTAATCCTTTGTCAGCCACAGCTGCTGTCTTACAATTATACAAGAGCTATCAAGGAATGGAGCCTTCTACAAAAGTTGCCATAAGCATCAGTGCTCAAACTACAAATTTCCTTTCTTAAAAACATTTCAGTTGCATCTCCCTTTTACCACAAAAGAACAGGCTACACACTTTTGAGGGGAAGTTACGATTGTATAAACTGAGGAAAGGAATAAGGTTGTGGTGTTTTATTTCCTAAAAGAAAATTTGAGCAAGGAAAGTTGGATCCATTCATAGGATACAACAACAACAACAACATAACTTTATTACGGTCATAGACCAGCAGTAGACGTCACTTTTTACAATATATTTAAGNGAAAAGGTGGCGGAACTCAAACCTGGCCACGCCCTCATCAAACCCTAGGACCGCCCCTTTAGAGAACAGGAATGCAAGTAAAATTTGGGAGGGGCTATTTCCGGTGTGGGAGGGGCTATTTCCGGTGCGGCCGGCCCGGAAAAAGGTGCCGGAACGCGGTTCCGCCGCGTTCCGGCTGAAAAAAAGCCCTGTATTTAAGGAGAAAAAGATAAAATAAAAATAGTACTGACTGAAGAGAGCAATTAGGGCAACACTTGGCTACTACAGACAGAACAAGTTGGTTCTTAACTTTGATAAATCAAAAAATTTAGTTTTTGCTAAAAAAAAAAACCCAGCCAATACTCCTGGAAAATAGAAGGACATAATTTGGAACAGGTTAGAACATTTAGATACCTTGGGGTGGTTTTCCACTCGCAAGGGACATGGAAGGCACACCTGGATCATACATTGCAAGTAGCCAATAGGTCCTTAAATGCAATCAAACATTACTTTTATACAGGCGGAGGTCAATTAGTACCTGCTGCCTTAAAACTTTTCGAGGCCAAAACATTGGCACAAATTTTATATGGGGCACATACAAGAATCCTTGCAAAGAAAAACTTGCTTGAAACCATACAAACCAAATTCGTAGGATATATTTCTCTGATCTGCTGCTTCAAACCCTTTTCTTTCAGCTTTTGGTGTGCTTCGTTTTGGAGAGACATCTATATCAATCTATTCTATTCTGTCTTGAAGGCTGGGGATGATGGAAATTATAACCCAAAGTACTGAGAGAGATACAAGATTAGAAAAAGCTGCCTCAGGGAAAATGAAAATTATTTTTCCCCCTAAAAACAGATAAAAAAATCTTCCTCAGTAAGAAATTGTATTGAAATGCTACGGGTTGCACAGTTGCATCTGTAGAATTGCTGTAAGGATGCAAAATCTGATACGGGCTTGTTTCTCTAGGAGTTGCCACTTTTTTACTCCTAAAAAAAAAAATCTAGATTCTCAGAATGCCAAAAGGAAGTTTAAATTAGAAATTATTGTACATCATTCGCTTTCCTCCTTTCCCTCCTGCAAATAACGATGTGAAAAGAATACATGCTGTCCCGTTCAGGAAACGTGTACAATGCACAATGCGGGAAATATAGTCAGTAACTCATAAATGTGTATTTTATTGTCAGGGTGCTAGGCTGATGGAATGGGACAATCGGCTGCAGTCATATTGTTGTGGCCACTTTCCTGCCTCCCAACTCTAGCTGATCCCCTGAGGCCCCGATGCCGTGGTGAAGTGTCCACAACAGTGTGGCTATGGCCAATTGTCCTAAACCCCTGGGCTGAAGAGTACAGAATTCACACAGCTTGGATCCTTTATTTTGAACTTCTGACTCCTCATTCTGTCATTGAAAAGCCATGAAAATTTGCCTCTTTACCCTTTGGTGAGAGAAAGTGAAACCTCTCACTTCATCACACCTGTCATCTAGTGACCATATGCAATCTTTAAGATGCCCTGTCTTGCAGGCCAGAGGTTTTCTCTTTCTTCTCCACAAAAGTTTTTCTCTCATGGAGTTTGATATGCTGTTTTTTTTCTCTTCAGATCGTCCAAGGATGCTGATTTTCAAGACCTCCCAAACTCACAGGAGAGGCTCCATACTCACACAAGGTACCTTAGGGTGCAACTATGAGCAGGATTCCTCTCTTTTCTGAGGGAGGCCAGTGGCTGGCTTGACCAAGGCTCTCTAGCTCTTTCATGGAAATGATGGAGGCTTTACTCTGGTTTCAGGTTGCTCCGGGGAACTGGCCAATGGCTCTGAGTTGACAGCCCAAGAAGGTGACTCGCTGGAGCTATTCTGCAAAGCAGATAGCAATCCTCCAGCCACAGCTAGTTGGATGAAAGGCGACAGCCACTTGCAGGACACTCCAGAAAACCAGTTGAGACTGACCAATCTGACAGTTGAAGATGAAGGTGTATATATGTGCAAAGTCACAAACTCGATTGGCTTTGTTAACGGGACGTTCCGGCTCTACGTGACATGTGAGTGATCCACGATGCTCTAGAACAGGGGTAGTCAACCTTGGCTCTTTTATGACTCGTGGACTTCAATTCCCAGAATTCCTGAGCCAGCTTAGCTGGCTCAGGAATTCTGGGAGTTGACGTCCACGAGTTGAAGGTTGACTACCTTCACGAGTTGAAGGTTGACTACCTTCACGAGCCAAGGTTGACTACCCCTACTCTAGAAGGCACTTCCTTCTAGAGGGAAGATATTAAAGCTGTTGACGTCTTGAGCTATAGGACATTGCTCATCCTTGGCAGAAAACCAACCAAGGATCAGTTCTGTGGCAGAGAGAAAGAATCTAAGAGAGATTCCTGGATACCACAAGCCAACTAGGATGTTCATAACGAGGGAGTGAAATGAGATTTGAAGGCCTGTAATAGGAGAGTAAGACTCTTATCAATGATACTTTTATCACTATGGCAGCCCTAGGTTTGGAAAAAAACATAGCACCTTTTTTCTTTTCATGTAGATAAATGAAAGTCTTAACCAAACGAAAGACCTTTGAACTACATGGCTCTTTTGTTTTTTTTTTCCAGATGCCCCCAAAGTCAGCAGAAGCCCCCAGAAAAATACAACATGTTATTATCACGACAACGGCTTCCTGTGTAGCTGTACCCTGCATGCTAAACCACCTTCCCAGATCGAGTGGGAAGTGGATGGGGAGAGGATAACCAGGAGAAAAGAAAACTGCATAGTCCAAGCTTCAATCCAGAAGAATGAGGTCACCAGTACCTTAAACTGGACTGGCAGCCTGGACAGAGCTCATAATATTATCTGCATAGGGAGCAATTCTTATGGAATCCAAACCATGCAATTCCAGTTGAGCGCCAAGACAGGCCCAACTTCAGAATCGTCCACAGGTAAGGAACTCCACCAGGCGCGTGTAAGGATACGTGGGAATTATCCCCGGAGGAAGGAGGAAAACCTACAGCCTAGACCAGAGGTAGGCAACCTTGACTCTTTTATGACTCGTGGACTTCAACTCCCAGAATTCCTGAGCCAGCCACGCTGAGGGGAAAGGGAGAGGTTTCCAAGCTGAGCCATGCTGGCTCAGGAATTCTGGGAGTTGAAGTCCACGAGTCATAAAAGAGCCAAGGTTGCCTACCCCTGGCCTAGACAATAGTCTGATAAATGAAATATGACTCTCAAGGAAGGGTGGAGACATTTCAGAAAGGACCCTCGGTAATTTTTAGGAGAGTAAATGTAAGAGAAGGGGAAGATAGTTTTAGGCTTGCAAATTTCTGTTATGGGTACTCCTTAAAGGAGAATATTTATAGCTCAGGGTTGAAATGAGGGGTCCTTGGTGCTCTCTGAGCTTGCTTGTTTTCTTGCAGACATTTCATTACCCTAACTAGGTAACATCGTCTAGCACTGATGATGATGTTACCTAGTTAGGGTAATGAAACGTCTGCAAGAAAACAAGCAAGCTCAGAGAGCACCAAGGACCCCTGAGACGCCCCTTGACTTACAACTGCAACTGGGATCCAAACTTCTATTACTAAGCAACATGGTCGTTAAGTGAGTTGCACCTGATTTTACAACCATTTTTGCCAGGTTTATTAAGCAAATCACTGCAGTTTATTAAGCAAATCACTGCAGTTATCACACAACTGTTCAGCAAATCTGGCTCCCCCCCCCTCATTGATTTTGCTTGTCAGAAGCCAGCTGGGAAGGTTGCATATGACAAGCACATGACATTGGGATCCTACGGTCATCACGAACACATGCTGGTTACCAAGTGCCCGGATTGTGATCATGTGACCATAGAAAGGGCGTGATGGCCATAAGGATGGGGATCAGTTGTAAGTCATTTTTTTCAGTGCCATTATAACTTGGAACAGTCCCTAAATGGATGGCTGTAAGTCAAGAACTACCTAGACTGATTCTTGAAGACCATCATGCTGATTCTCCATAGCAGGGGTCTTCAAACTTGGCCCTTTTATGACTTGTGGACTTCAACTCCCAGAATTCCTCAGCCAGCGTGCCTGGCTGAGGAATTCTGGGAGTTGAAGTCCACAAGTCATAAAAGGGCCAAGTTTGAAGAACCCTGCTCTATAGCCTTGGGAACAGAGGACCTCCTCTATCTCCATGCAGTATAGTCTTAGGAATTAGACTTCCTAAATTTCCCAAAATCTCTTACCAAACAATTACCAGAAGAAACTATTCTTTGGTTTTCTCCAAAGTTCTTGGTTTATTGTTGCAGAAAGATCTAATCAGACTTTGTTCATTGCCGGGCTCTGTGGAATTTTTCTGGGAGCTGGAATCTTCATGGTATGTTTATTCCTGATCAGGTGAGTTTTTCTCCAGATCATTATGTTTTGGCAGAATTGATAAAAATCACATTCTGACCAATAACTTGTATCAATCTATAAAACTCACTATAAGTTAATCATGGCCAGCCCATTGCAGATTTTATAGATTCTGCCCTGGTCTCCCATTCCAGATTCTAGGTTTTCAATATGTAAATGGTGAAATTCAGAAGCATCATTAAATGTTGACAATCATTATGCTCTAGATCTAGTATATTTCAGCAGAGTTACAATGCTGAACAGTTTGCTAATTGTTCTGTTGTCAACAACAATGAAGAACTGGGCCAACATACTAAATATCGTTCTCTGTGGGATATTTGACTGTAGAAAGAAGGAAAAGGGATGGAAGTAAGGAACAAGGTAGAGAATGTGTAGCAACATATGTGTGTTTATTCTATGCTTCAAAAAGATTCAGATGAAGTGTTTCAGTACATGCAGCAGCATTGGCACAGCATCTCTTTAAAGCAGCCACTCTTTCAGGCTTTGTCACACAGCTGCTTTAATAAGCCACATTAAATTTTAAAGATCCACAACTTTTCATGCATGGAATAGATCCAGTAGAATAAATGACATCCACTACTAATTTTAATGTGTCTACTTTAGACAGATCTCAAAGTAGGAAGCAGCTTCTCTAGGATTAGAAGCATACTGGATAAAGGGATGGGAATTTGTTTAAAAACAAATTGCTTGCTTGATTACTATCACTAAGCTACTCCCAAGTAGGGGTATCTATAATAGTGCAGAAAACATTCTGCTTGACTCCAGATATTCAGCCTAAACCAGTGGTGGCGAACCTATGGCACGGGTGCCAGAGGCAGCACTCGGAGCCCTCTCTGTGGGCACATGTGCCGTTGCCCCAGCCTTGCCTCCCCCCATGACCCCCTCCTCACCAGCAGCCCCCCTGGAGGAGAGTCGCCCCTGAGCATGGCCCATGCGGAGCAGCACAGCCAAGGACATGGCAGCTAGTCAGCGTAGACAAAACTCTGCCCTCATGCCCCATCACGCACAGTTGATGCTGCGGGGCACGGACAGAGGGCGTGGTCGTCATGGCACTGCTGGGCTGCCTGGGTGATCTGCGGCGGGCCCTGGAGATGGTGAGTGGTCCTGCGGGCAGGCGGGGTGAGAGCGGAGCAGGGGCGGGGCAGGGGGTGGAGCGGAGGCGGGGCTAATTTGGGGCACTCGGTCTCTAAAAGGTTCGCCATCACTGGCCTAAACTATCCATCTGCCATTGTTACATTTGGGAGGAGCCAAAGTATGATTTACCCCACTATGGTGACACTATCTGAATCCTTACTGTTTATATAGTGTGTACAGAGACACAAGCCCCCAACCCAATTTGATTACGATTTCACATAAATGGAGTGTTGCATTGTTGTGGGGAGGAAATGCACCATTAGTAAGAGAAAGAGATGGAAAAATGATGGATGTAAACTGATTAGGGAATTGACACAAGCAAAAAGCTAGGGATTAAGAGATCAGTTTTAGGAGAAAAAAATAGAGAAGACTGTGGCTTCATTTCTGAAATAACTAGTGCTGTACTAGTGGATTCCTCTAGTAGTAGAGACTGGGCTACATCAGGAGTCTTCAAACTCTTTGATGAAGTTTCTAATTGCTCATTGGACCCCAGACATTTATTATATGAAAATAATGTAACAAATATACAAAAATAATAGCAACAATCTCTTGGATAGTCCTATAGTACTGTTAGTTAAAGTAGTGTTGATTACCCCTTGGATAGTCCCGTCAGCCTTTGGGGTCAATATTGATCCCTTTGGGGAACCCTGAATTAGATTATTTTCTAGGTCCCGTCCGTTCTATGACTCCATGGATGTACAGTGTAAGAACCTAACATTGTCCTACTGACTTGCTCCCAGGATTTTTAAGCAGAAGAAAGCATTGTCCAAAGCTGGTCATGTCGAAGGAACCTCTTCTGAAAGAGAACCTCATGAGAAACCCAAGTATTCCAGCCAAATCTACAGCAACGTTTTCCCAATGGTAGGTTTCACATGTACTTTTGCTCTTCTCTTTCTCCTCATCTGGAAAATGAAGGAAGTAGTGAGTTCAAACTAAATTAGAACAGAACAGAACAGAACAGAACAGAACAGAATACTTTATTGGCCAAGTGTGATAGATACACCAGGGATTTGTCTCCGGTGCATAAGCTCTCAATGTACATGTAAATCAACTAATTAATAATAATTATAATAATGATACCAATAAGAGAAGGTAGTGGAACAGATGAGAAGGATAAAAGTAATACAGCCATACTACATGGGTAAATATACTTAGGCATAAGACAGTACTGTGGGAATTAGGTGTTCAGCGAGCGATAGCATGAGGGGAAAAAACCTATCCCTGTGTCTAGTGGTTTTGGCATGCGATGCTCTGTAGCAGGGCTTTTCAACCAGTGGTACGGGTACCACCTGTGGTACATTGGCACCTGGCAGGTGGTACGTGACCATCTTAGAAAAGTGGTAGCAGGGGAGGGGAATGAGCTGAACCGGTGGCAGCACCGCACAAGCCTGAGGGAGAGATGGCTGGAGCTGCAGGGCTGTCAGGGCTCAGTGGAAGCGCCAGGATCAGCGCCAGGCTCCAGCTGGAGCTCGGTGCTGATCCTGGTGCTTCTGCTGAGCCCAGAAGAAGCACCGATCAGCTGGAATGTTGCAGCATCTCCAGGGTCTTGTGATTTACATTCAGATGCTTGGCAACTGATTCATATTTATGACAGTCACAGTGTCCCAGGGTCATGTGAAGTGACCAAAACCTGCTGCAACCACCCAGCAGATGGGGGGAATAAAAACCAACCCCCCACCCCACCCCCGCTGCCAATCCTCAACAGAAATGCTCACAACAATGAAAACCTCAGACAGGAGGAAGAGCGCAGCCGGGTGGGCAAGCAGGTGTCTTGCTCGACTGTGGCTTGGGGGGCACTTTTTTCAGTGTCATTGTAACTTCGAACAGTCACTAAGTGAACTGTTATAAGTCGAAGACTACCTGTATTTTATCACTTTTTTCCTTTTTTTGTCATCAAGTTTTTGACACCTTGCTAGGTGACTGGTGGTACTCGGATGTTGCCATATCCTAAAAGTAGTACAATGGGTGAAAAGGTTGAAAAGCCCTGCTCTGTAGCACCTTCCTGAGGGAAAGGAGTTGAAAGTTTATGTCCAAGATGTGAATATACAGACTATTCACACATCTTGGACATTAACTTTTAACTATTTTCTCAGCCTTCTTTCTGACCGGTGCAGTTTACAGGTCCTCAAGGGAAGGCAGGCTGGTTGAATCAAGGTCTTTATGAAACTGAATTTCATCACCATCTTCTGGCATTTTGTTCCAAATTACTGATCCATCCTAGGAGTGCAAAATGATTGCTCAAGCAATCTTGTCAAATTCAAACCTAACAAAAGCACCTTTCATTTCTGTGGCTGGTTTTACTCTTCCGTTCGTACAAAACCAGTTCTTGCTGCCCTAAGAGATCCTAAGTCAGGGGTTTTCCAAAGCTAACAAAACATTGTTGTTGTAATCCTTTCATCAAAAGCCAACGTGGCCTGTTTTTTGGTCAAGCTGTAATCCTTCCTTAAATGTAGCTTGCCAGAAGAGTTTATGAGCTTTATTGCATTTGTAAGGAACCTTTCTATTGGCGAAAAGAACCTTGTGAAAAGATACATTAAAAAGCCAATGTATTAGAAAAGAGGACCCAGATAACTAAAGCAGAGATCAGCAAGCCTGTCCCCAGTAATCTTTTAGAAGCCATCAAGCTTTTTCTGAAATCAGATAGATTCCTGGTATTTTAAAAAAATGTAAACAATTTTTGTAAATTCCTTCAGGCTTGGAATGATCTAATTCAATGGTGGCGAAGCTATGGCACGGGTGCCGGAGGCGGCACTCAAAGCCCTCTCTGTGGGCACACGTGCTGTTGCCCCAGCCTCGCCTCCCCCCCACGACTCCCTCCTCACCAGCAGCCCCCCTGGAGGAGAGTCGCCCCCGAGCATGGCCCACGTGGAGCAGCGCAACAAAGGACATGGCAGCCAGGCAGCGTAGACAAAACTCTGCCCTCATGCCCCATCATGTGGGCAGAGGGCGTGGCCGCCATGGCACTGCTGGGCTGCCCGGGTGATCTGCGGTGGGCCCTGGAGGCGGTGAGTGGCCCTGTGGGCAGGTGGGGTGGAAGCGGAGTGGGGGTGGGGCAGGGGTGGAGCAGGGCCGGGGCCAGTTTTTGGGCACTCGGTCTCTAAAAGGTTCGCCATCACTGATCTAATTAAAAGAAAAAGAAATCTATTTCTTTTTTTAAAAAATCTACTTCTTTTCAGTTCTAACCTCTTTGGGGCATGTTTCTTATCCACTGGGACCCCAAATGTTGACCAATCTTGAGGAAACTGAGGCATTAACGCTTCTGTGTGTCAATGAGTCGAGTGCAGTTTTTCCCCCCCCCCCCACTGTCATCTTCAATATTCTGCCATCAAGCCAATCTCAGGAAGGGAGAATAAGAATACAGGTAGTCCTCGAATTACAGCTGTTTGCTCAGCGACTGTTTGAAGTTACAGCACTGCTGAACAAATGATAGTTACAACTGGTCATCTGAAGTATGGCTTGTCTCAGCACCTCTGTGATCATGTGAACATGATCCTGGGTGCTTGGCAACCTGTTGGCACTTATGACTCGTTGCCAAACACCCTGAGATTATGTGAACCCCATTTGCAACTTTCTCTGCTGGCTTCCCCAGAAAGTCAATGGGGAAGCCAGTAGGAAAGGCCACATTTCGCTGAGGTAAGTGTCTCCCACTCACACACCCTCCTCAGCCCCTCTGAGCTCATGATACACCAGCCACTTGTGTACCCCACACACTCTCCCCAAGTGAAGAGTGCCTCTTCTCGTGCATGGCCACACACCCTCCTCAATTACATAGCACCTCTTGTGCACTACTGACTCCTGCAGCACCTTTTGTGCACCTCTGCACCCCTCCCTGATCTATGTGGCACCTCTCATGCATTCACACATATCCCACCGTACCCCTGCACACCCCCTCCATCCTCCTTGATCTGCCTGCCACTTCTACCACACCCTCCCTGACCCATGCAGCGCCTGTCAAGCAATGCTGAGCATGGCTTCACACCCTTCCTGAATCACACAACACTTCTTTTTTTTTCTTTTTTTTTAATTTTTATTTTTATTAACATTTTCCTTTATACAGTACATATTCAGCAGACTATGCCATTTTATATACTATGGATCTACATTCTATATAACAGGGCTTTTCAACCTTTTCACCCATTGTACCACTTTTAGGATATGGCAACATCCGAGTACCACCAGTCGCCTAGCAAGGTGTCAAAAACTTGATGACAAAAAAACGAAAAAAGTGATAAAATGCAGGTAGTCCTCGACTTATAACAGTTCACCTAGTGACTGTTCGAAGTTACAATGGCACTGAAAAAAGTGCCCCCCAAGCCACAGTCGAGCAAGACACCTGCTTGCGCACCTGGCTGCGCTCTTCCTCCTGTCTGAGGTTTTCATTGTTGTGAGCATTTATGTTGAGGATTGGCAACAGGGGTGGGGTGGGGGGGTTGGTTTTTATTCCCCCCATCTGCTGGGTGGTTGCAGCAGGTTTTGGTCACTTCACATGACCCTGGGACACTGTGACTGTCATAAATATGAATCAGTTGCCAAGCATCTGAATGTAAATCACAAGACCCTGGAGATGCTGCAACATTCCAGCTGATTGGTGCTTCTTCTGGGCTCAGCAGAAGCACCAGGATCAGTGCCAAGCTCCAGCTGGAGCCTGGCGCTGATCCTGGCGCTTCCGCTGAGCCCTGACAGCCCTGCAGCTCCAGCCGTCTCTCGCTCAGGCTTGTGCGGTGCTGCCACCGGTTCAGCTCATTCCCCTCCCCCACTACCACTTTTCTAAGATGGTCGCATACCACCTGCCAAGTGCCAAGGTACCACAGGTGGTACCTGTACCACTGGTTGAAAAGCCCTGCTATATAATATATAACTATGTACATTCAATCTAACCCACAATAACCTAATTTGCACAATAACCTTATGTATATTTCCAATTTTTGTTTCTGTTGTTTATCCAAATATACCAATTTTCCCAAACCGCGTAAAATTCCGAATCATCTTTTTCTTTTCATCCTAAGGTGAGTTTGTCCATCTCAGCACATTCATAAATTTTCTGAATAATCAACCCCTCTGGTGGTACATTGCGTTCCTTCCAATATTGCGCGAATGCAATTCTTGCCGCAGTTAGTATATGTAAAATCAGATATCTAAACATACTTTTAATGCAGGGATTAGTGAAAAATTTAAGCCCTTGTTCATTAATAAGTTCATTAAGGCTGAGTGTCTTTGAACATTCTGCATCTCGTTTTGCAGCCTGGACTGAGCTGGTACTTATAAGATAAGCTAGTAACTCGCAAATTTCTCTCCTATCTCTTGGTTGTTTGTGTCCAACAATCACTTAGAAAATAAGGTGAGAACAAGGGGGGAAAATGAGGGCTTTTCCCCCCTTTTTCCAACAACATTGTTCCTTTCTTTCAGGGTCTGAGATTATCCCCGGTCGATAAGCCCACTGTTCCAAGCCCAAGGAGAATAGACCCAGATGAATTGCAGTATGCTGCCCTAGAGTTCAAGCCGAAAAATAAAGGCGTTCCAGTCTTAAGAAATGACAATGTGGAATATTCAACAGTCCAAATAAAATAAAAGTCCTTGGAAGTGAGCGTCGGCTTTTGAGGAAGCAGGAGAGAAAGAGGATTGACGTTTTTGAACTTTGGTGCTGGACTCCTGAAGATACCGTGGATAGCCAAGAAATAAAGCATCAAACAAATCAGCTCAGAGTCATCATGCAAGGCACAAGTAATCGGGCTCAAATTATTTATTTCAGACACATTATAAGGAGACCCAGCTCTCCGAAGAAGGCTGCATTGCTGGGAAAAGGGGAGGGAAAGAGAAGGAGAGGGTGAAAAGCAACAAGGGGTGGTGGTGGACTCAGTTATAGTGGCAATGGGGCTACCCAAAGTCCATCCTGGAGAAAGTTTATCTGTAGGGTTGCTAAGAACTGACACTGACTTGATACATAATTAATCGATCATTCTTAAGAAATGCCACATGTAATGAGGATAAGGCTACTTGATTAAAACTGCAATAATTCGCACACACACACATACATACTACTAAAACATTGGTCTCTGTCTCTCTGTCTACATATTTCAACTGGGTGAAATGGTGCATCGCAGAACAACGTTTTTGGAATCAAGGTACCTCAAATGGCGTAACTTACAGAAGGGGTCCCAAATCCAGGACCCAGGACTCCTGTAGGATTAAAATTTGGCAAATTCATGGTCACTTCAGTGCTGCTGCACCGCTGTGCTGTTAACCGAAGCTTCAGTAGACTGGCCCCCTCCTTCGGCCACTGGAGATCAAGTTGACTGGTCACACCCTAGCCCTCCAGTGGAATGGGACCACTCACCCTGACCAACTTGGCCATGGACAAGTTGTCACAGAAAATGCCACGGCCATCTCCCTTTGGGAGAACTTGCCGCAGGACTATTCAACAAATACAAAAGTTAAATGAATTTCCAGTGGAACGGTGGCCAATAATAATAAAGAAAGTCCACCCAGAAATACAAGCGTGACAACCATTTGGACAAAAACGTGGTCACAAATAATAAAAGTCTGTTATTCTATTATTCTTCTACCCCAGAACATGACGCTTCCAAAAAGATGGTCCCAGAGTTATCCATCAAAATGTGTGATCTTTTCCTTCGCTTGTCCCACAGTAAGTTGCCCCATGGTGAGTTGGCATAGACCCCCCTCCTCCAGAGGCTGAATGGTCCAGTCCTTCTGTCAGTCCCTGGAGGGCGGTCAGCTATATTTAAACCATCAAGAAGTTGGAAGTTCCCGCTGCCACTAATTTTTTGCCCTTGAGCAAAATGGATTCTAAAGATGATGCAATGAACGAAGGACCTTTTTTTGTGTGTGTGGAAAATCTTCCATTTGTGACTTTCCCTATTGACTTTCCTTGTTGGAAGCTGGCTGAGAAAGTTGCAAATGGAGATCATATGATCCTAGGATACTTCAACCATCATAAATATATGCCATTTGCCAAGTTCCCAAATTTCCATCGTGTGACTATGGAGATTCTAGTATGGTCATAAGTGTGAGGACAGGTTGCAAATAACTTTTTTTTCAGCACCATTGTAACTTCCAACAGTCACTATATGAATGGTTGTAAATTCAATCCAGTTAGAAGATCATGGAAAACACACAAGAGATAAATCTTGTCCATTGTCTTCCCTAATTCAGGATATTTTACAAAGTGTAATGAAACATATTCTTTCGCTCACAATTGTGATCTCCCATTTTGTCTTTCTGCTTTATCTATCTAGCAGTGGAGGAAAAGATCACACATTTTGATGGATAACTCTGGGACCATCTTTTTGGAAGTGCCATGTTCTGGGGTAGAAGAATAATAGAATAACAGAGTTGGAAGGGACCTTGGAGGTCTTCTAGTCCAACCCCCTGCTGAGGCAGAAAACCCTATACCATTCCAGATAAATGGTTGTCCAATCTCTTCTTAAAAACCTCCAGTGTTGGATCACCCACAACCTCTGTTCCACTGATGAATTGTTCTAACAGGAAATTTCTCTTTAGTTCTAGGTTGCTTCTCTCTTTGGTTAGTTTCCACCTGTTGCTTCTTGTTCTGCCTTCAGGTGCTTTGGAGAATAGCTTGACTTCCTCTTCTTTGTGGCAGCCCCTGAGATACTGGAACACTGCTATCATGTCACCCCCTAGTCCTTCTTTTCATTAAACTAGGCGCACCCAAATTCCAGCAATCGTTCTTTATATGTTTTAGCCTCCAGTCTCCTAAGAGGGCAGAGTCAACATTGAGTGTAGAGTCAACGTTGATAAAGAGCTTTGATTCCATTCCAAAATACCTTTGGAGTTTCCGTGTCAATCATCTCCTCACTTCAAAACATGAGTATGACTTAACGAACAATGACCAAGCTTATACAGCCAGCATTCTCAGTCCTAGCAGGAAACTTTTTAAAAAATATTAGTCAGTTGGCATAAGGTTCCTCTTGTGACACGGATGATGATGAAAAATGCTTTCAACAGGGTAATCTTTTGCAGTCTCATGCTGGAACAAATCCAGTCATTTCCAGGTCAAAAAAGCTGAATTAAGGAGCTGGTTTACATTCTTTCACACTGGGTCTTCAGTATCTTCAGCCAACAGCTGAAACAAGGTGCTTCTGGATTGTAGAAGAAAGGTGTGGTCCAAACACTGGGCTTTTTTGAGACTTCTTCTTTATGCTTCCCTGAGCACAAAACACTTACACTTTGGAGAACTCATCAAAGTGTCTTAGTCCAAATTTATTTTATGCCCATATGTACAGTACATGCAAGTCGTATGAAAGTATGAGATCATTGTCGATTTCAGAAAAGGCAGGCACAGCCACACTTCTCTGTGCATTAATGATTCACCTGTGAAGATGGTTACCAGCATCACATTCCTGGATGTGCAGCTAACGAGTAGGCTGGCTTGTGAGAAACTGGTGAAGTGGGCACAGCGCCTGCATTTTCTGCGTCGCATGAGAAAAGCACATCTTCCTTCCCCTTTCCTGACTATTTTCTACAGGGGGACGATCGAGAGCATCCTTTCATACTGCATCACAGTCTGGTTTGGAAGCATCACTGCTTCAGACAGGAAGGCGGTGCAGAGAGTGGTGAGAATAGCCAAAAAGATCATTGGCAGTTCTCTCCCTCCCATCCAGGAAGTGTTGCTTGAGCAGGGTCCATAAGATTATTTGGGATACTACACATCCTCTTCACGACCTGTTTTCCTTGTTACCTTCTGGGAGGAGGGGGCTTCGTAGTATCCGTAGCAGAACATCCAGATTCAGCCATAGTTTCATTCCATACAGCATTAACCTTGTGAACTCTCAAGCTTCCTCCTTCCGTTATATATTCAAGATGGACAGTATTTAATATTTATTTGCTACGTATATGTAGGGGTGTGGGTCTATACATATGTTGTACATAGTATGTTTAGGTGTGTGTCATGTATGTGTTTCACTTTGAAATCGGGGAACTAAATTTCATTTTTGATGTGTGCCGTTGTGCCCACAGTAAAAAAATGACAATAAAGGTTATCTTATCTTATGATGATGAAGTGAAGGCAAAGAATTCATTTTGGATGAATACAGCTGATTTGTGGCCCTATACAGGTCATCCTCGACTTACAACAGTTCATTTAGTGACCGTTCAAAGGTACAACGGCACTGAAAAAAGTATCTTTTGACCGTTTTTCACACTGATGACTATTGCTGCATCCCCATGATCACGTGATCAAAAATCAGAGGCTTGGCGATATTGATGACGGTTGCAGTGTCCCAGGGTCCTGTGATCCCCTTTTATAAACTTCTGACGAGCAGAGTCAATAGGGAAGACAGACTCACTTAACAACAGTGTTACTAACTTAACAGCTGCAGTTATTTACATAACAACTGTGGTGAGAAAGGTCGTAAAATGGGGCAAAACCAGTGGTGGGATTCAAATATGTGAACAACTGGTTCTCTGTGTGGATGCTGCTTCCAGAAGTCTGTTCTGGATCTGGGCAACAAAAAATTAGCTACCGGTTCTCCTGAGCTGGTGCGAACCGGCTGAATCCCACCACAGGAAGGAAGGNGCTGAAACAAGGTGCTTCTGGATTGTAGAAGAAAGGTGTGGTCCAAACACTGGGCTTTTTTGAGACTTCTTCTTTATGCTTCCCTGAGCACAAAACACTTACACTTTGGAGAACTCATCAAAGTGTCTTAGTCCAAATTTATTTTATGCCCATATGTACAGTACATGCAAGTCGTATGAAAGTATGAGATCATTGTCGACCCAACTTCAGCTTGTTGAATCAAAATCATCTTAACATGTCTGATGGAGGTACATATCTCGGGGCTGGCATTTTGTTGCCATTGTTCTACAAAGTTTTTGTGTTATTTTTTTGAAGGGGAAGTATTGCAATAAACTGTCTACAACCCGAAACCTGACTCTAGAGAACTTCTAAAACAAAACAAAACAAAACATCAGTGTGATCTGATATGCACGGAGGGCGCATTCTTATTACCCACAACAAGGATAGTCTCCTATGTCACCCAATGAAACCCCATCACTTTTTTAATCCGTTGAGCTATGATGTTGCAATTGACCCACAAGAACTATAACCACTTCTGCTTTTGGCGAGGACAGATTTCCATCCAAAGACCTTTTCCTGCACCGTTCAGACAATAGCAGAGAATAAACCACAGGAGCACAGAGGCTCTCTGAAGTCCCGGAGAAAGACAGCTCTCCTGCACCAAGAGGTGAGACTATCCTACTTTTCACTCAATGGGGCTTTTAAGAGCCTAGTTGACTTCAAAGGGCTCTTAGTCAGATCAAAAAGAGCCTTAAAGTGTTTAATTTGAGCTTTATTCACATCGGTCGCTATTTTTTCTTTTGTCTCCTCGGTGGAAGAAATATTTTAAAAGGTGGTTTTTGCTACCCGAAGCTTCTGCAGAGCTGGTTCAACCACTGAGCGGGAGTTGCTTCAGAGTACAATTTTTTAGAGACATGGAAGAGCAACAACTTGCTTTTTAATTTGGCATTCTTGTGCATTCTTACTCTAAAAGATTTTCTGCTTCATGATCCAGAATAACTGGGCTGCCATTGAATATTATGCATGTTACCTTGATGGATGTAGAGATAGGGAAGATGACCTTGGTGGGGAAAAGCAGGAATCATTACATAAGGGAAAAAAAAAAGAAAAGCTAATGCATTTATTAAGACTAGAGCAAGAATTTAATATTCAGGTAGAGGGCTCCCTAATTTACTGAACTGTAAGAAGGATACAGCATAAGCAGCAACCATTCCCAGATTATATAATGTGAGATGGCACATGGATTTGCCATTCTGATAATTAGATATATGTATGTATATATGTGTTTTTCAAAATTTGGATTGCTAACAAAGAATTAAGGGAGAACTGGAATAGCCATTTCGAACTTTTTAGTTCTTTTCAACCAGACATACCCTTCTGAGATTCGAATCTGGGCTGTCTGCATGTTAGGCAGATCCTTTCTCCCATATTTGGGCCGACAGGGTGCACCAAACTCAAGATAATGTATATATGTATACATATAGGGGTATGTGGGGGGGGGGAAGAATCCAGAGAAACAAATATTTTGGGGAATATTAAAAAAGGCAGAATATGTTTCCCCAAAGGAATAATGGAGAAAATCTTAAAAAAGACAGAAAACAGCCCCAGAAACCAGCCCCAACCCCTCTCTCCCAGGCAGAAACCAGTTTTTAGAAATGCAGAAGTAATAATCCATTCAGGAAAGTTCGAGCCAGGAAGCTAGAAGCTAATGAAATTAGGAAGACAAAGAACCCTAAAATCTACATACCCCTACCCAAATTCTAAGGACAGGAAACATAATAGGATTAACCCACCAATACCAAAAGGACACACTCAGACTCAGGTCAAAGTACATGACACAGGAAATACAAAGCCTCAGACAGGAAGAACTCCAAATACAAAGACCAAAGGAGGCATAAAAGCCCACCACTCCCTGCTACATGTGGTCAACTTTCCCAGAGCCATCTTTCTGTCAGGCTCTGCTCTTCAATAAACCACAACCTTCTTTCTAAAGCAGTCTCCATTTTGATTATTCCCAGCTTGGACTGGACCCCGATGAAGATTTTCTTTCAACATGTGTATATACATGCATATATGTTTATGGCCTAGTGGTGAAGACGCTTGCCTCCCACTCAGAAGGCTGAGAGTTCAGTCCTAGGTAGTGGCAGATGTTCTCTCCTAGGGCGCCAAGAAAAAACATATCTACTGTGAACTCCGCGGGGTGTTAGGAAGGGCATCTAGCCAGTAAATGCTCATCTCCATTCAGTTGCCCTGACTCTACTGGGGATTACTGGGTCATAAAAAGGGAGTTTGTATGTATTATCAGAATGGCAAAACCATGTGCCATCTCATGTTATATAATCTGGGAATGGTTATAGGCACCCTCCTTTTTAATCCAGCAGGAATAATTTCAGAAAGGATAATTCAATCAAGTGAGCATCTCAAAGTGTCAAGGATGAAAGAGCGTTTTGAAATACTGTTTCTTTTCCAGCTGGAATTAGAGTCTTTTCACTCCTCTGATGTCTGCTTTGGGTCATTTATTTAAGTACTTCCTAAAGTGGTAATCCCTGGGCTCTTTGGAAGAAGTAAAAGTGATGATAAATCCTGCCTAAAATTTGCACTTTTGTGTCTGCTTTAACCCATGAATGTGTGCCTGATAATATTTTTCAGAATCCTCCAGAGCTTCTTACTCTTCCATTGCTTACAAGACCCTGAAATTTTCAAATCTAGAAATACCCCTTTTTCATTTTTCTTTTAAAAAGACATCTCCTGTGCCCTCCTTTCACATATATGCATGCTTTATTTTCTATCCACACCCATCATGTACGGTTAGAAGATTGGCATATTGTAAATTATATATTTAGAATGCTTGTATATAAAATGTTTATAACATATTATATATTTAGAATGCTTGTATATAAAATGTTTATAACATATAACTATGCAATTTGCAACAAGGAAGGCAAGACTTATGACTTTAAAGAAATCTTCAAGCCTCTTATGAAATCTGGGCATATATAAGGGAAATTCCTCCACTAAGCAGACACACAATTTCTAACTTCTTAAGGAACTTAATTACCAGTTAAGTTTTTCTTACAGTAAGTGACTTCAGAGTACATGTCTCTACATTCACTGGGGATTGGCTTGCATCCAAGATACATTTATCAGTAAACAAGCCAAAGACAATGGGTTTTTCATCTGAATAGGTATATTGAGAATAGCAGCTAGTGTGCTGGTAGGGTTACTCTTAGATGTTGCCAAACCATAACTCATTGCAGTACAAGTCAACCTTGAACAATTCTCCATTCTGTGGTCCAGGGATTATATTTAGAATTACAGCCCTAGAGAGAGATGAAATATAGCAAGCATAAGATTGGGATACATCTTATGCTTGCTAGTTTAAGCATGTTTAAAGGAAGGTGAAAAGATAATTTGACGGATCTTTATTTGTGGTATATTATAATGATCTCCAGTGATGATGTCCTCTTCCTCCTCTTCCTCTTCCTTCTTCTTGAAACTATTTTCAGGAAGTTTGATGGTCATGACACCAAAACATCTGCGAACAGTTTGCAACATGGTAGTGTTGGGAAATTCTAGGCTTCTAGGTCTGAATAGAAGCAGCTGAATGATATGATATATGGAAAAGGCTCATAACATTTACCATGTGGATTAGAGAGAAGTGAAACTGAGTGGTGGGCAATTCCAGGAGACCAAAGCAAGCAGACTTTCACAAAGTATGCACTAAGACTTTGGGATTCTGTGCTGCAAGGTTGGTGAACTACAAATCCCAGCTGCCCTAAAGGTAAAGAATCTTGGGGGATGCATGTTCTGAGGTCCATAATTCAGCCTTCACAAAAGGGCAGTTTTAAAAGGGGATTAGACAAACTTATGAAGGAGAAAACTTCTAATTACAATAATCATTTTACTACTTACAAGACAGACTAACTTATGGATAGTCCCTTGACTTACAACCACAACTGAGTCCAACATTTCTGTTGTTAACTGAGACATTTGTTAAGTGGGTTTTGCTCCATTTTATGACCTTTCTTGCCACAGTGGTTAAGTTGGTAAGTTAGTAACACGGTTGTTAAGTGAATCTGGCTTCCCCCATTGATTTTGCTTGTTAGAAAGTTGAAATAGCATATTCACAAGTAGGATTGCTTGGGCTATTAAGAAAGTTTAAGTCCTATTACCAGGACAACTCCCTAACAATCAGTAAATCTAAATCAAAAATCATGGTGTTTGGAAAACATCATGAGAGACATAGATGGCAATCAGATGGCAAACCAATTGAACAGGTTAACACCTTTGTATACTTAGGCATAACGTTTTCCAAGACTGGATCTTGGGCTTGCCATCATCAACGGAGCACACTTAGAGCAAAGGCTCATTTGAATCTACTGCTTAAATTAAAGGATCATAGTTATCCAGGGTCCCTCGTTCCATTAATCAGAGTATATAAAGCTAAGGTTACTCCTATGCTTTTGTATGGAGCAAAAGTTTGGGATATATACCCAATTACAACACTAGAACAAACGCAGTCCCAGCACCTGAGATGTATTCTGGGTGTATTTTAGCAACAGTTCCTATTACACAAAGAGGACAAGAGGGAGAGAAGAATGGAATCGTCTCAGATTTAAACTGGTGGGATTGGAGAAAAAGTCTAATATTGGACAGTCACTGTTGAGAAATCTATTCTGTCCCGTTGACTATCCATCCTTTCACCCTTTCGCTCACCTTGTGCACACTCTGTCTGAAACAACTGTGGAACTCCCCTTAAAGTCACATTCCTTTCCTCTTGTGACCAGAAGTGCCCATTTTGGTTACGTAAAAATAGAACCCACAGTCTGGATATTAAAAACAGGGTAAAGTTTTACGTATGATATTAGTTCCACTTTTCCAAAAGTCCTTATGCAAGAAGACTCTCTGGGATGATTTGTTTAATTTGGCACCCTTAAATCAGCTCTCTGATTTGCAGAAGGAATAGGTTGAAGGTGGGAAGGTGGCCCAAATAATAAACATAACAAATGGCAGTGTGAAAATCATGCAACGGAATAAACTTCCGATTTGATCGCAAATTTCATAGAAACCTACTCGGACCCTTTAAAAAATATCTTACAATGCTAAGGCAAGATCATTTGATCCCAAGCAACCTTCAGATTCCTTAATGCTGGCATTTTGGTGGCCAGTCCAGATATTAAGAGCTTTTCCTGTTCAAAAGTATTCTACCATTTCAGAATGATCCAGACTGTCTCTCTGCACTGCAGATGGCATGTGTTCTGATTTACTTTATTTGAAAAAAAATTAACATAAACAAAAACTACAAAGACTTTTAGCCTAATCTGTGCCCAGGCCGAGTGGCTTAAATGTCATATTCCTCCAACCTCAAGGAAAATTACATGTAGTGCTTGACTTACAACCACAATTGGGATCAGAATTTCTGTTGCTAAGTAAGGGTTTTGTTAACTGAGTCTTGACTGATTTAATAACCATTTTACCACGAATCATTGCAGTTGTTAAGGGAACCACATGGTCGTGAAATGGACTGGCTTCGAAAGGTTGCAAATGGTGATCACATGACCCTGGGACATGCTGGTTACCAAGTGCCTGAATATTGATGGCAATAGCACGTAGACTTATATACTGCTTCATAGTGCTTTTACAGCCCTCTCTAAGCGGTTTACAGAGTCAGCCTATTTGCCCCCAACAATCTGGGTCCTCATCTTACTGACCTTGGAAGGATGGAAGGCTGAATCAACCTTGAGCAGGTCAGGATCGAACTCCAGCCAGTAGGCAGAGTCAGCCTGCAATAGCAATAGCACTTAGACTTATATACCGCTTCACAGGGCTTTACAGCCTTCTCTAAGCGGGTTACAGAGTCATGCTATTGTCCCCAACAATCTGGGTCTTCATTTTACCGACCTGGGCAAGATGGAAGTCTGAGTCAACTTTGAGCGGGTCAAGATCGAACTCCTGGCAGTGGGCAGAGTTTGCCTGCAATGCTGCATTCTAACCACTGCGCCACCTTGCAGTGACCCTAGGGATACTGCAACAGTCTTAAGCGCAAGGACTGGATTGTAAATCACTTTTTTTCCCATTACTGTTGTAACTTTGAACGGTCACTAAACAAACGGTTGTAAGTTGAACACTTCTCCAAGAGGAGAAGAAACAGTTGTTTTGAGTATCCATCCTCTGATACTGCCCTGGCTTCAATATTCTCCCAAGGAAAAAGCTCATTCTCACAGTTTCTGAACCCAGGTTTACCTCCTTAGGCCTCTTGGGATCCTGTTGTTGACCACAATCTTCCAAAGAGGCTGAAGTTTCAGGGATGAGAAAATGGGTGGCCCCTTTGAGGCCTTCTTCCTTGGGCTAATTTCAACATCGTTGCTTTGGAAAGGTAAGAGCTGGTGGGAAGGTAAGAGGCTGGCTCTTGATGGCAGCCCTGGATAAGTTCTCCTTTCCAATGATGGAAATGGGACGGGATGTCTGTTACGGTGTAGCTGAGTGTCTTGTTTTCCACTCTTTGCAGGTGTGATACCTGACAAAGTGGAAGGGTATGACCTGAAAGCTCCTGATCATGTATTGGTAGAGGAAGGACTCTGTACCATTATTCCCTGCAATTTCACTTACAATAAAATTCATGCTACTCCCAGTGAAACATTGTATGGATATTGGAGGAAAGGAACAGACAATAAGAATGTTATCCAAGTGGCCAATTCTTATCAAAGGTCGCCTCAACATCACTTTCAACTCACTGGGGATGTGACTGCAGGAAACTGTTCTCTCCTCATCTTGAACGCCCAAAAATCTGATGCAGGGAAGTACTATTTCAGGATGGAAAAAAACCCTAACGCATGGTTTAGCTTTTACAGCTACGCTAATCCATCCCTGAACGTGACAGGTGAGTACCTGGAAAATTGTTTGGCCTTTGTCAGAAGCTCCAGTTTTCACCAGCCATTGTAAAATGTTATTATTAACACCCCTCCCTCTGTCGTTTTCTGTTCTTGTTTTAGCTCTGCTTTGATAATGCTTTTAAAATCATTATACAATGGGATTAGATAATAATTGTTTTATACATTGATTGGTTTCTTGGACTGTTGTGTGCTGTTCAGAGTTACTCTCTGGCCATATACATTTGGTTAATGCATAAATAAATAGGGTTGGGTTGGGGCTGCAGATAATAACCATAACATGCAGGAATAAAGCCACTACCAGATGAAGGAATTTCACTTCGTCTCTCTTTCTCTCTCTTTCACACATAGACACAAACCCAGAGAAAAGGTTTCAAGCAATATGATCCACACAGAGCCACAGAAGCATCGAGGGGTAGTGAAATGTTTCAGGATAGCATGAATGTTTCCTTAGTAATAGAGATAGATGCCCCCACCCCCATGGGATATAAGCCAGATTTTGGTTTCTTTTATTTATGCTAGTGGGATAAACCCACTTGATGTAATTTATAAACTGTGAGGTATAGAGTTGCCATGTATGAAAAGCCAGTTGTGGATTTTCTAATAAACCATGGTCAAAAGCAAGTGGGTCTTAGCATGAAGGTAAAAATCAGCAAAAGAGGGAAAGAAGCACTAAGACTTTTGATCAACAGCTCACCATTGAAGATCCTCCTGAAGAATCTTTTGTGATGTGTTTCCTGCCCTCGTTTTGCATTTCCTGGCCTGCTGGACCTGTAACTTTGCCCTTGTAGGTGGACACACCAAAGTTCTCAAAATTTGAAGAGGGCTTCATAGGGGATTCATGAGATGCTGACAGACATGGATTCATGCATGCCCCAAAGGTGCTTTTCTAAAAAGCAATTGGAGTTTCATGTTTCGCTTCTCCTCCGAGAAGCTTCTTCAGATGCTTCTTGGATGAGAAGATGCTTGAAATATAGAAATATAGAAGTTCTGCGGTCATTCCTGGTTGCATAAAATCTCGTACTCCAAGAGAGAATAAAATCTCAGTGGGGTCCATCTCACTTGAGAGGCATTTGGGAAGGAGCCTGAAGATCAAGCCCAGTGGATAGGTAAGAATGTATGTAGTCTTGGAGTAACTTTCTTCTGATTCCTCTCTTCTCTTCTTAGAAAAACAACCACCAGAAATACAGATATTGGGGAAAGTGCGGGCAGGAGATCATACAAACATCACCTGTGCAACCTTCGCAAGCTGTAGTCGGATGCCTCCAAAGTTCACCTGGAGCGGCTTTCCCAAACCTATCAACCCTCATCTGCAGCTGAACGGGATCCAGATTTACAGCACTGTGCTGAATTTCTTACCTTCAGTTGCAGACCACCAGCGGAATCTCACCTGCAGGGTCAACTACGCAAATGAGAG